TATTCAGACACATTTGTGATGGTACTTCACATTTAAAAAAAGTTTGCTAAACTAGAACTGCATGGTGATGAATTCCCATTATTCTCACATCACTACAAACCTGTATGAAGTCTAACACAAGAGGAAATTTAATAATTATAGAAGAACATTTTGATGACTGTTGGTCTCCATATGTACAGTAAAAGCACTGAGGCAATACTCTTGATACTGTGTGTTTCACCGAAGAAAGCAGACATTTAGTTTTAATACAACATGAGAGCAAGTATAAACACTGACAGACTTTTTATATTTAGGTGACCTGTCATTTCAAGTTAATGCTCGCAAACAATGTTCACATTACCTTATGTGACACAAGCTCTTCAGCATGTAGCTGTAACCCCCATTGTAGGCTCACACAAACATGTGTGTCCAACAAACCCCAGATGTGTCTGTTGAAAGAAGGGTCCAACTGTTTGTTAGAAGTGTGGATGCTTTTTATCCCTGGGTGGTGTGTGGGTGCGGGTGTTATCTGGCCTAGCAAACCGCAAGCTTGTGTATAAGGGATTTGTGTATTTGTGCCTATGCATCTGAATATAAATTAAATAGAATGTGTTTGCATATGGGGGGTGGGGAGCTTAAGAAAGGGGAGAAAGCAAAAAGGTCTAGATTTAAAGCTGGAGAAATGAGAGAGGGAGATAAACAGAGGGTGTGTGGGAGCCGGCAGACTGTGGTGAGGTGGATCATGTGGAGTCAGCGGTGTGGAGCCTCAGTTTGGAAACTGGAGAAGCCCACCACCCGCCCCTCCACTTCAGATTTATCATACTTTCACTCGGCAGACACTAGGACTGCACAATTACCAAGAGCTGCAGATCTGTGACCTGTCATCATGTCAAAAGTCAGGGAGGATGGGGGTAGTTGTGGAAAGAGTGAAGTGTGACAGGATAAACGTCAATGGATTTCTACAGGATCACACTATTTTTCTCTGGACTATTTAAAGAGTTCAGATGCAAAAGTCTCTAAGTGCCATCTGAAATTTTCTTCTAAAATTAGCATTTTTCTCAGGATCCTATATCTTAATTCAGTTATTTCAGTTTTATGGCAAATAAGTTATTTTTATCTCTTTTAACATGAAATAACTGAACATAAATGTAGAAGGTTTTTGCATCTGAACTCTGTCACTGGGTTGGTATCTTTGAAAAAGGAATACATTTGTAACTAAATGGTCTTGGTTAATGCCTCAAGGGGACCTATTAGTACCTAAAAAGTACAAAAGAGTACCTCTTGAAATTATTAGGGATTAATATCTAAATAATACCTTTGAGGTACCAATATGAACCCTTTAAGTACAACTATGTACCTTTTAAAAAGGTACCACCCCAGTGACAGCTCTTGTAACTTTAATTTTGAGAGCTACAGTATAAGTACACCCCTCACCCCTTCATCCTTTAAATTCATATTTTTAATAGTAAGCTATACAAAATTATATTTGTGCATATACATTAGATTAGTCAGTACTAAAGCCAAATCTGGAGCTTCTCTAACAAAATAACTTACAATAATGGTCCAATAACTAGTGCACTTATGTTATAGAAAAATACTAAATACAAATTTAAAAGATGAAAAAATTTAGTTTTTTTCTAACATTTTGCTTTAATTTAACTGTATTATCTTTCAATTTTTAAATATGTTTAGTGACTAAAATAATATTTTAAAAGATATATCTGTTTAATAAATCTGTTTTGTTTAAATGCACCAAAACACATTGCCTATATTCACAGAGAAACGGATGAAAATATTAATTTTCAAACTGGGGTGTACTCAATTATGCTGAGCCCTGTAGTTATATGGGTGTGTATTTGTGTATTTTCACAACTTATTTTTCTCCAGACAAATGTACTGGTTCATCTTATAGTTCACTATCCTCACACTCACTGAGACAAAAATGCTTAAAAATTGTGAAACAAATGATACAAATGAAATGACAAATGATACAAACTCATATTGTACTAAAGAAATCCATAAGTATTAATGCATTTATAGCGCCACCTCCTGGCCACAACTATAAAAGACACAGAAAGGGGGGGGGGGGTGTCTACCGCCAAAAAAGAAGGTTTACTTACCGCGACAATGGAATTTATGCAGTGTTCCCACATACCTCTGCTATAGAATTTACTTTGCAATTTATGACAACATTTAAGGAAACTTCTGTAGAGAGAGACTGGACTCACAAAAGCCATTACAAGTCAACTTTTTCAATATTTATTTTAGCAGATGCTACATTAACAGTTGAACTAAAACTAGTCAAAACTTAATTCCTATGACCTGAACTATAAAGCTCAATTTCTGTTTCAAATGATACAAAGATACATTTGTTATTTCACAATATACAGTATATTCATTAATAAATATACCTTTTGAAATCAAACATCAAAACTGCAACCTTAGCTTGGTTTGAAAATTATAAGCTGAGCTGTTTTGATTTCCAATAGTACAGCATGTACTGCTGTTTTGCATGTGTTAATAAAGATTAAGTCTGAGCTTATTGACAAACTGCTCATGACTGTTCAAACATGAGAGTTGAAAATCTGTCACACTTTTAAACTATGAAACACTGTAAAGATCACACAAATGTTAAGCCTTATAAAATCAATCTAATATACACATTTAAAAATCTAATCGCTCATGAAAACAATAAGATATTGCACATCATCCCAAATTAGATACGTACTGTACTTCTATGGCAGCAATGTACTGATATTCCTCAATCAGTTATTCCAAATAATTCAGAAGACACAACAAATTAATTTAGTTGAACATAACGTATCTATTCAGCCCTTATTTTTCAATATTTAGTGCAACATTTCTTTGGTTCAATGGTGTGGATGAAAGATTCTATTACTGATGATTCTACTGTTGCAAAATAAATTTTATTGGCCTTCTTTCTTAAACCTATTTGTATATTGAATTGGTATTGGTCATCATTAAATTAAATACATTTGAAATTTTAGAGATGCCATTAATTAAGCATAAACATGTTTGGAGACAACAATGCAAAACCAAAGCCTAAAAGCTAAACTTGACACTAAATTAAAAAAATCCAATCGGGAATAATGCTGAGAGGAGCAAGGCACTTCTGTTTCATAGTTAAGCTGTTTGGGTTGCTCTTAGCAAAGAAAAAAATTTAAAATAAATAAATAAATTCACCTAAAATAAACTAATTTAATTTACCCATTACTTTTACTTAGAATATTACAATGAAAGTAAAACAAAAAATCTTACAGCCTTCACTTTTATAGTTGAATCAATTGATCTTTTCTAGTCATTTCAACTTACATCAGTCAAACAGTCTTAAAAATATTAATGAAACTTTGTGTAACCTAATTGTTAAAGCATAATTAACTTATCAAAATGAGTTAAAGAAGTAACATAACGGTTTATGTTGTGATGGCATTTTTCCAATGACAAATATATATATTTCCGATGCTAATATCTTGTTATATTTTCCATTGATAAAAAAATGCTTTTATTAACTTAATAAATGTACCATCTAGGCATGTCACGATAAGGAATTATTGTTGTGTGATACATTGTTACAGAAATTGTTGCAATAAGCGATATTATTGTCATTCTGAGATCATTTTATGCCACTAATGATATAATGATAATAGAACAGCATAATAATGCTAAAGACATAAAAACTTTGAAATATTTATCATTCATTCATTTTCCTTTGGCTTAGTCCCTTTATTCATCAGGGATCGTCACAGCAGAATGAACTGCCAACTTAACCAGCATAGGTTTTACACAGCGGATGCCCTTCCAGCTGCAACCCAGTACTGGGAAACTCATTCACACACATACACTATGGCCACTTTAAATTTTTTAATTCATCTAATTTTTAATTAATCTATACCACATGTTTTTTGACTTGTGGGAGAAACCGGAGCACACGAAGGAAACCCACACAAACACAGGGAGAACATGCAAACTTCACATAGAAATGTCAACTCTCCCAGCAACCTTCTTGCTGTGAGGCAACTTTGCTAACCACTGAGCCACCGTGTCACCCTATATTTATCATTCTTATTGTTATTTAGAATCGAGGTTAAAAAGGTAAATGTCAGATTAGATATACTATTAAAGGCAGCACGGTGGTGCAGTGGTTAGCACAATCGCCTCACAGAAAGAAGGTCGCTGGTTCGAGCCCCAGCTGGGTCAGTTGGTATTTGTGTGTGGAGTTTGCTTGTTCTCCCCGTGTTGGCATAGGTTTCCTCCGGGTGCTCCGGTTTCCTCCACAAGTCCAAAAACATGTGGTGAATTGGGTGAGCTAAATCATCCGTAGTGTATATATGGGTGTTTCCCAGTGATGAGTTACAACTGGAAGGGTTTACACTGATTTAAAACATATGCTGCATAAGTTGGCGGTTCATTCCGCTGTGGCAACCCCAGATTAATAATGGGACTAAGCCGAAAAGAAAATGAATGTACTGTTAAATGCCTTATTAGTTAAATATCCATTTCTAACCTTTGACACCAGTAAGGTAGTATGTAAATGTTTGCTTTTGCTTGAATGTAATTGTAAAATGGCTTTAACGTTTAAATGCATCAAACTTGTAAATTTGTAAATATATATTGGAATGACAAATATAACTGAGGTCATTTCCAAGTATTGCATGATAATTCCATATATTGATTACTGTGACTGACCTAGTACAATCTCTTCTTTGAACCCCTACATTTGCCTAATGTAAACGGCATGACAAAATACAATTCTTCATAAAACAAAAAATGAACTTAAATTTTTTTGTTCATAAATGTTATGTTTATAATGCTAAAAGATTCAAAAATATTACCCAATTTTCCTGCTGCCTTGCAGACTACTGCTATTTCCATTAGGAAATATAAATTTTGTTTTTGCTGAAATTAATAACATCACTCTATATTATAATATTAATAATAATAATTCTTCTTATTATATATATATATATATATATATATATATATATATATATTTATATATATATTCCCTTCTGTTGTGGTTCACTCTACAACCACAATTAGCACAAGCTTCAGCAAAAACATATTTCAGTGACTGAAAAATACTACAAATAGTTGAAATTGGCTTGAACAGAGTACCCACAGTTGTTTTCAGCTCTGAGTTTATCCTGGTATGAGGAAAGAACACACAGAGAAACGATGAAGGTACTTGTACTCCCTTTGATTTTACGCTACAGGTGGGTCATCTGATGCTTCAGTCCCATCTTCAGATAAGAGTGCTTGAGTGTCATTAGGATCCAATGGATGGACACACTTAAGGATTCTGGAGAGGCACACATTGAGTCGGAATCAGTCAACATTCAAATCATACTTACAGTATGTACAAAAATACAAGAATATGCAGAAAGGGGAAAGAGGAAATGGAAACCATAGCTGGCATTTTTGAACAAGGAACTATCATACGAGCAACATTCAGGACGATTTAAAACCAGTTTTAAAGATTTACTGGACCAACAAGGTGCTTTCCAAACCAAAAGGTCAATGCAGTGTTAAAAATCAAGCTTTTACAGTAAATGTAATTTTAGCTTATACTGTAGTGGCAATGGTGATAATATCTGCTTGTTACATTTTCTAAAAATAAGAGTATTCTTATAGTGCATTTCACAAATAACTTTAGTTTCAGTTTTACCTTAAAGAAATCTGAAAGGCTAATCATTTTTAAAAACAAATGATACTTCTTGTTACGACTGTTTTAATGTTATTTTTTATTCCATTTTCTGTTATGAATACAGTTTAATATAAAGCACATGTTAGGAAATGGATATAAAGAAATTATTAAATATTCAATGTTTGTAAAGGTTTTATTTAAAGCTACCAGCACTCAGCAGTATTTCATATTGTTATTTCTACATAAAATTTTAAAATGTAACTTATAACCAAGTAAATGGATACCACTTTTAAAATATTTTGATATCAGTTGATAAATAACTGGGTAAATAATTGTTCATTTTTATAGTAATCTTTAACAAACCTAGAAATGTGTTACATACTGTACACTGTATAAGATGCTTTTATTTGATTTGATTTTACTACATTTGAAAATGTGTTTTTATTTTTTACATATTTAAGTAAAATTACAAAATTACGTAAAAGTGTAAAAATGTATAAGTAATTCATTTTATTTCTAACGTGTTTTTTCAAACACCCAAAGTCAGCACTCGTTCTGGTTAATAATTCCATTAAAAGAAAGCTACCAAAAAAAAAAAAAGATTGATATTTGCCCGTTAAAAATATCATTGGATCATTTTGGGTTACTATTAGTTAGTCTCATGAGAGGAACAGGTTGTCCTTCTGTCATGCTGATAAGTCATCAGAAAAAAAAATACTGTTGAATAAAGGGGAAGTTATTTAGATTAAAAATTATAAGGACACATGATTTAGGACACAGGACATAGTAGTTGACGTGACATGGCAAAAATTAATATAGTTAGTATTAAAATGCATTTAAAATGCAGTAAATGGTTAAACATTTTTTGTCTTGTTATAGTCTTGTTATTTAAACTGCTGCATTATTAAATTTTTTTATCTAAAAACTCTACTAAGACCTTTCTCGAGTGTACAGTAGTTCAAAAATTACAACAGTTATAAATTTAAATTGTAAAATCATTGATAAATACCTCAGGCCTAATTTTTTTTAAGTGGCTATTTTAGTAAATTTCATTTTTTCCTATCCTTATATTGCTAAAAACAATTCTAGGAATTTGATGCATTTTGTCACTGAAAAGCATGTGCTCTGGTGTGACACTACATGCCAATCCCCAAAAAAATCTGATTTAGCTGAAAGACCCCATACAAAATTATGTGACTGACTGAAGCCCCCTGTAAAGCCCATGATGTGCACAAGTTTTTATCTTGTTTCACATATTTTACTGTTTGGGAAGCACTATAAAATTGTTAAGTATGGTTTGGCCTTTTTATTGAAAACGTCCAACAGGTCAAACAAAACTATATAAAGAAACGTGTCCAAAATGAAGATAATGTTTGCTATGTCTCACCAAAGGACAATTTTAGACTATAGTTCAGTAAAAACGCAGCTAAAATCTATGGGAGACAGGGCATTCTCTTCATTGGTGCCTAAATTGTGTAGATATTCGCAATGCAGAATCCCTGAGTATTTTTAAATCATCTCTTAAAACTTCCTTTTTTTAGGGTAGCTTTTATTTCATTTCATTGGATTTTTAGATTTATTACTATTAATATTTTATGTGTTTTTAATTATATTTTATTACATACAAGGATGAATGCAAAGAAAAATGTATATTTTACTGCTGCATGTTATGTCTGTTAAGTGCCCTAAGATGCTACTTTTATATGCTCTATGTAAAAATAAAGTTTATTAATATTATTATTATTTAAAAAAGTGAAAGCAAGTTACCCCCTATATTTTTTAAAACATCAGTCTTCAAGCTACATGAATTTCAAAAATTTTTCTTCAAAAATTGTTTTACAAAAATCAAAAATTACCACCCATTCGTCAAGTACCTCTGAATATGTGCACAGATAGATCATCTTAATGAACTTTGTAATATTCCACAAAAAGGGCCCATTTTGATTTCCCAGTGCCTTTAAATACACTGTTTCTAATTCCTGAACATCAGCAGTTGGTTATATTTCAGTGCTGCTCTTACCCCAGTAAACTCATGGGAATGAGACAGAGTCCGGCACCCAGTAGGAAGACAAAACCTGGACACCAAGCCACAGTGGCTGCATAGATCCTGCTAAAACTGGCAGCAGACCCATTGGTGCTCAGCGTTTCTGTGAAGGCCACACAGGCGAACAGCGCTCCTGAGAAAATGCAATGTCTCAACATTATTGTCTTTTCAAAGGAAGACAGATTTTGAAATAAGGATCCTTAAACCCAACACTTTAAAAGTGCATAGTCGCACAAAACACATCTTGAGCAGATAAGAGCTCTTATGATCAATGTTTTGCTGAATAAAGAGGTTTTGCTTTGGAAGAGAGGTTTTCAGAGAGTCATTCACCCTGTTCAGACTTTGAGACGACCTTTGACATCATCGAACGCAGGACAGGGAATGGCATGATGGCAAACATAGCAGGAATTCTCACTGTAAGCAAACACATCAACACACACATTAACTAGACAAACATTTTCAGAATTGCAGGAAAACTCACTTATTTTAAATGGCTACAAATACAGAGCACACAAATCTGGCTTTTTAAATAATATGGGACTGATTTATGCAGCTAAAATACAAAAAAACAGTAGGTTTTACAGTATACTACTAATCACTAAAATTTGCTAGGAAAATTAATTAACACCTCAGCAGTTACCCCTTCTGTTCAGTTATCACTGATGTTTATTGAGCAAACTTCAACTTAATATTAGTGCAAGTATAAAAAGTATATAAACGTGTGATAAGATAAAGATGTTTGATGTAACCCGAGAGAGCCATAGTTTTCATTTAATTAATGTCATAATTCTATATGCCACTATAATATATCAACAAAAATATGAAGTGTCGTTTTTTAATTTAATGCATTTGAAGGGTATAAACTATTCATTTATTTGGAGTTCTACAGTTTTGACAAACTGATTTAATGTGTTTAAAGTCCATAACACAATGTATATTTCTGCTATTAATAAAACCAATCTCAGTCGATTTATTCATTCATTCATTTTCTTGTCGGCTTTGTCCCTTTATTAATCCGGGGTCACCATAGCAAAATGAACCACCAACTTATCCAGCACATGTTTTTACGCAGCGGATGCCCTTCCAGCCGCAACCCATCTCTGGGAAGCATCCACAGACACTCATTCACACTCACGCGAACAGAGGGAGAACATGCAAACTCCACACAGAAACACTAACTGATCCAGCCGAGACTCGAACCAGCAACCTTCTTGCTGTGAGGCAACAGCACTACCTACTGCGCCACTGCGTCGCCTCAGTCGATTTATTCATTCATTCATTTTCTTGTCGGCTTAGTCCCTTTATTTATCCGGGGTCGCCATAGCAGAATGAACCACCAACTTATCCAGCACATGTTTTTACGCAGCGGATGCCCTTCCGGCCACAACCCATCTCTGGGAAGCATCCACAGACACTCATTCACACTCACGCGAACGCAGGGAGAACATGCAAACTCCACACAGAAACGCTAACTGATCCAGCCAAGACTCGAACCAGCAACCTTCTTGCTGTGAGGCAACAGCACTACCTACTGCGTTACTGCGTCGCCTCAGTCGATTTAGTCATTCATTCATTTTCTTGTCAGCTTAGTCCCTTTATTAATCCGGGGTCACCACAGCGGAATGAACCGCCAACTTATCCAGCAAGTTTTTACGCAGCGGATGCCCTTTCAGCTGCAACCCATCACTGGGAAACACCCATCCATTCTCATTCAAACACAGACACTATGGACAATTTAGCTTACTCACTTCACCTATAGTGAAGTCTTTGGACTTGTAAGTGGGGACAGCCAGGGCTCATTATATATATATATATATATATATATATATATATATAAATACAGAAACAACCCTGGTTACTTTTTTGCTGAGTGAAAAAAGTAATTGTTTTAACAAAAATATTTAAATTGATTTTAAAAACAATTTTAACCAAAATCTAATGTTTCATAATCAAAAAACTATACCATGTTTGTTTATTTTGCCAAGTGCAGAAATCTTACCCATTTTATACACATTTTAACATTTTTATTTTTAAATATATATAAACTTAACTTTGCAAGTTTACATTAAAATGGTAAAATGAAAAAAATATATATATATATTTTTTTTTTTATTAGTAAACATATTTCTAAAGGTGCTGTTGAATTTTTCCCTGGATGTTGACAGCAATCAAAGAAATCTATGAATGTAAAGAAAACAAATCTAATTAGTTTACAAATTAAGTTATGCATAATAAAATTTAGTGACGCAGGGAAAAAGTGTTGAACACATAAAAAAGGGGAGGTATAAAAGGCAGTGAAGCCCAGACAGCAAATGAAATCTCTTAGTAGTTCTTCAGCAACCCTTTGCCCTTCCTCGTTGTAAATTAATATTAGCTGCTTCAGTACAACGTCTACATTAACAAGTTGATGAAAATGAAACCAGAGTGGACATTTCAGCAAGACAATGATCCAAAACACAGCCAAGAAAACTCTTAAATATTTTTAGAGAAAGTAAAATGTAAAATGGCTCAGCCAATTATCTGACTTGAATCCAATATAAAATACAAATCAAAGATCAGATTTGATAGACGAGACCCCCAGAACCATCAAGATTTTTTACACTCTGAAGTCTATGAAAAACTCACACATAAGAAATGCATGTGACTTCATTCTTCATATGAGAGGCGTCTTTAGCCTGCCATCACCAAAAAAGCCTTTTATATAAAGTATCAAATACATTCAGTAGTTCAGTACTTCCTCTTCTGTTCATTCCATTGTTATTACACAAATCATTTTTAATTTTTTGTTTTGTTTGGTTTTGTTTTATTTTTATGTTTGTATTGTTTGGGTTTTTACCAAAATCTGGTTCAATTCTGTGTCAACAGCCCCTTTAGAAATATTATGACATAAAAAAAACATGACATGTTCAATACTTATTTTTCACACTGTATGCATGTATTTATATATGTGTGTGTGTGTGTGTGTGTGTGTGTGTGTGTGTGTGTGTGTGTGTGTGTGTGTGTATGTGTGTGTGTGTGTGTGTGTGTGTGTGTGTGTGTGTGTGTGTGTGTGTGTGTTTAACCTACAGTTAAAAATGTCTTAATTTTTTAACTGCAAGCATTCATGCTCACCGAGGAACATTGTGAGCGTGGTCTTGGCGAAGCCGGTCATCAACATGCTAACAGCGACTGAAAGCATCCCAATGAAGGCGATGGCGATGTTAGGCAGGCAGAGAGAAAACAAAAACACGCCAACAAAACTTGTAATAAAAATAGATGTGCTGGCAGCAGAGCCATATCCGACAAGAATCTCAGTCCAACACAGCGGCTCATTGAGCTCATAAAGCGTGAATATGGACAAACCTCCAGTATTGACAAAAGACAAGGAGGAAAAGGTGATAATCAACAGCACAAGAACCCATGTTCTTCGTCTACTTCCTCCAGCAAACAAGCTGTAGATGCTGCATGCCAGATTCCGCAAGGCCTGACAACAAGCCAAGGTCTCCGATCTATCAATGACTCTAGTTTCTTCCAGAATAAAGATGGCGTATAGTAAATTAACGACCTGAAATATGGCAGAGGTAAAAAACGGCCAGTTGAACCCGGCTGCGTGTAAGAAGTAGCCAGTGGAGATTGAAGCTACACCTGCCAGCATGCCAATCATCATGTCGACTACAGCCATCCGAAGGGTTTTTTGTTTGCCATCTTCACACAAATCAGCCACATAGGAGAAGCAGCCACCTAACATGGTGCCGATGCCCCCAAAGAGGGCACTTACGAATGAGGCAACAATAAGGAGGTAAAGGTTGAGCTGGAAGAACGAGACGGTGAGGAATGAAAGCGTGTAGATCAGAGTGCCAATGAGAGGCATGATAATGGTGATCTTTCGGCCACGCTGATCGCTGTAGGACACCAGGAGGAGGGTCACGATGAGGCTGGGGATCATGGAGGATAAATCAGTGTACATGGAGAACAGAGAAGCTGCTTTCTGCACCTCCTGGAAAAAAAAGAAGAGGAGGAAAATAAATAAAACAGATGTGCTTATGAAAGCGTGTAAGTGTCTTATAAGGGGTGATGCAATTCCTGATCCAAAAATAAAAACAGCTTTAAAAAGAAAAAGAAAAAAGAGAGAGAAATAAAAAAGGAAATGAAACGCAGATGTTCGTGTATCTGTGACCAAAATTGGAATGCAACAGACTGAGATCCGAAACAACAACAGGTGTAGCTTACTTTTATTTTCATTCATTTGTTTTCTTTTCAGCTTAGTCTCTTTATTAATAAGGGGTCGCCACAGCAGAATGAACCTCCAACTTATCCAGCATATGTTTTACACAGCGAATGCCCTTCCAGCTGCAACCCATCACTGGGAAACACCCATACATTCTCATTCACACACAGACACTACGGACAATTTAGCTTACTCACTTCACCTATAGTGAAGTCTTTGGACTTTTAAGTGGGGACAGCCGGGGCTCGAACCAGTGACCTTCTTGCTGTGAGGCGACAGCGCCACCCACTGTGCCACTGAGGTGCCCCTCACATTCAATTTAAGGTACATAAATTAACTTCTGACACCAGGATTTATTCAGTGAATAATACTGACCGGATCAACGTTGTCTCACTTATTACACAGTTGAAATATTGATTTATTAGTTTACTTATTATGCAAGTATTAACTTACAAAGAATTGTTCTGTGTTTCTTTATGACGAAACATTGGTTTCCTGAATGAGTGATCTAGTAAACTGTTGCAATGGACAACTGTTGCTTTTCAAAAATATTTGACTTCGGAATTCAGTACTGAGATGATTAGTATAAAACATTGAAAAGATAATTGCATGCATTGGGTAACCTAAATTGTCTGTAGCTTATGTGTGTGAATGAGAGTGTATTGGTGTGTCCCAGTGATGGGTTGCAGCTGGAAGGGCATCCGCTGCGCAAAACATATGCTGGACAAGTTGGCAGTTCATTCCGTTGTGGCGAACCCTGATTATTAAAGGGACTAAGCCTAAAAGAAAATGAATGAACGAATGAATGTTTGCATGCTGGTAGCCCATAAAAAAATTTAAGATACCTTTAAATTCTTGTTTTCTTGTACATATAAATTTTTTCAGAACAAAAATTTTAATTATGTCATCATTTCCTTACCCTTGAGCTGTTATAAATCAGTATGACTTACTTTTATCTGTTGAAAGCACAAACAAAAAGATATTTTTAAGATTGCTGGAAAATTGTAACCACTGACTTCCATAGTATTTGTTTTCTTTATGGGTTTAATGGTTACAGGTTTCCAACATTTTTCAAAATATCTTCTTTCGTGTTCAACAAAAACAATACAAATTGATTTGTAACAAGTCAAAGCATGCATTGAGTAAATAATGACTGAATTTTCTTTTTTTTTTTGTAGACTTTCCATTTAAGGCCCTACTGTATATGATTCAATCTAGAGACTTTGGTGCAGAATTAAAAAGCTGTTAATAGAAAATATTGCATTTGAACTGTTAGAACTTAAGTAGCAAAATCCCTTCTTACAAACTACCTGAAAATGATTAAAACACAGAATATCATGAACAGACCACTGAGAGCAAGTAATGAGAGTGAACTTATTTTTTATAAGTAAATTAAGTTTTATTTTTGGTCATTCAGGTACATTCATTTTCTTTTCGGCCTAGTCCCTTTATTAATCTGGGGTCGCCACAGCAGAATGAACCACTTATCCAGCATATGTTTCACACAGCGGATGCCGTTCCAGTTGCAACCCATCACTGGGAAACATCCATACACACTCATTCACACACATACACTACGAACAGTTTAGCTAACCCAATTCACCAATATTTTCTATGAAATTAGATACAGGGAAATAAGCTCTACTTCTGGTTTCAACTTGAAGGGTATTTTTGGCACTCAGACAGGTATGTTCTGCACATTTGTTTTGGTAAAGGCAAACAAGATTAGATTACAAGATGTTCCTCTTTATATATATTAAAATAAAATTACTCATTGGGATCCCAAAATCTATTAAATTTAACAATATGAAAATAGGTGTGTCAAAACAAATGCTTATTAAGAACCAAAATTTAATCTAAAATGAGAGATCTTTTTTACTTTTTGAGTTACAGGCATGTAAACAAAAAATTAATAATAATAAAAATAACAACAACAAAAACTGATTTTGGTGGGGCTGCACAATATATTGTTTCAGTATCGATATCGCAATATCAGGATACGCAATTTTGAGTTATGATTATAGTTGACTATGAGAAAAACAAGTGTAGTTGCTGCAGAGTTTATCCAAAATGGAGTAAAAGTTTTTCATACTCACATTTTTAAACACTGAGAAAAATTAAACCATTTAGGCACAATAAATTTTACTATTTGTAGCTTTAATAAAGTTTAATGAGTTTTATTGTTTTTTTTTATATCAGTAAAGACTTTTGAAGTTATTTTCCATTTTATTATTTAAATCATGTACCTGATTACTGTTTGACTGCCCCGAAAACAACACATTTTATCTTAGCTTATCTTATATGGATGTATTTGCTTGTAAATGTTTATAACATTTTAACGATGGTTTACTTCCTTACAGAATCATGTCAATTATTCTAAATAAATACATTCTTTCCAAATAGCAATTTTCAAGTCATCTGGTGAAATATATATATATATATATATATATATATATATATATTAATTACAATATTTATCGCAGAAAAAGAAAACATGACAATACCTGATTTTCCCAATATTGAGCAGCCCTAGATTTTGGTATAAAGTCCTGAAAGAGCTTCTAATCTCTTGTGTAATAAAAAATAAATATGATGCAGCCATTTTTCTAAAGTCATACACAAAGGCTGAATATATAAAAATGTATCTAGTATGGCTATTGTGCATGTCTTGCAGAATTTGGAAAATATGGTAAATTGATGATGACAATTCAGAAAAGCATAAATTTCAAAATTCAATATTTTAAATGTAAAACACTGACACACAAATAAAACAAATAAATTAATCCAGAGGAATCTACTAAATTAATATACAAACAAAAGAGAAGCAGACACTTCCACAAAAACATGAAGCAAATCAAACGCTTTTCTTAGATAACCTTAAAAAAACAACACACTCAAATATACTCTGATAATAAGCTGAACTTTAAATTTTATAAGATATAAAATATCTCCTCTAGACACCTTGAGGGGAACTGGCTGTTCACTAAAATATCTTGAGGCAGGTTTGTTAAAATAGCAACTGCTAAAAAAAACACATCTACACTGTAAAAAAAGCTTTTCTTACTTTACTTTTTCTTAACAAGACAACTTTAGGTAAGAAAAAGGCAATTTTTTGCTGTATAAACCAAAATTGTAGTGTATATATGATTTCAGTGTCTGAATATGTAAATAATATGAAAATGCTTGAGTCAGATATGAATGTAACGTGTGGCATACTGTACCTCTTGTCGGCTGGTGTGGTTGCTGCTGTTGGCGGCACATTGAGAAGTGTTTTCGGACACTGGATAGGTCGAGTTTGTGATCTCCAGCCACAGTCTGCGATACACATACTGCTGGATGAGAGGATAAAGCATAAAACTGGCAAACGCGTAAATCGCGACGACGGGCTCGATGAAGTACAGTCGCTTCATAGTGTCGTCGACGATGTGAGCTGCAAAGACAAGAATAAAACAAACAATTACATCAATCTACCATAATCACACTAATCTCGGATCTACGTAATTGGCTAACCATCAACCCCTAAACAACTTGCATCATGACAGCTTAAATTAACCGGTCAACCTGACGACCACCTTGGACAGCTACCAGTCTATCCAGTTTAACGTTACTTACGGACAGCGCAGATATACTGAGGACGTACGTCTTCATCAAAGCAAATGTAGACAGATTTGCTCTCATCCGCCGAGACTCTTCTGCAAGCTCCCTGACAGTTAACAGTTGTTCTCTGTTTTGTTTATGAAACATGACATCTCGCAACCTCTTATGAAACGCCGGTTTCCTGGATGTCTTTACCTGATTGGTCGGTTGAATTTAAGGATTTCAAATCATTGGTTGGTGAAGCTGCCAGTCACCCAAAACGGGCGGGACAACTCATGAAATTGCGATGGTAATGGGATTTTAGGAGCTATTCAAAACAGTGTGGTTATTCATTCTGTTGATCTTGCACTTAATTAATTTGTTATATTTCTCATATTTCCTATTTTGGTATATCTGTGATATTACAAAATATCTCTTTAAAACTTGTAATGCTTGCTCGTAAGGAAGAAAATATTGTAGATAGTTCATAAAACATTGTTGCTTAATATAATAAAGTTTTATTTTACTGATTTAGAACCATTGCATTGCCCATTTTCTTAGTGTTACGCTAACATTGAGTGGGCGTTTGTAATGGGAAGAGTCTAAATGACTGAAAGAGGAAGAAAATAGAAATAAAATATAAATAAATAGGTTGTTTTAATAAACTATTGTCTGAAGAGGGCGCCTCGAGGCCCATATTGAACAATAATAAATAACAAATGTCTATGTAAGCTAAAAGCGGTTACCATGTCATTTTCATGACATTTTATTAAACTCAAAAAATGATATATGCAGCATAAAAAAAATATAATTTGTGACAAATTACAAATATATTCTTATTGTATTTTTTATTAAACTTTTTTCTGCACAAAACATGAGTTAGGAAGATAAAAAACATAAATATAACATAAATAAAACTTTAAAACATAATATAGCTCTAAAATAAAATGCGCAAAATCAAGAAATAAAGAGAAGACAAATGTTAGATCACTTACAGATCTACAGTACCATATATGTGGTGCATCAGATACATCTGTGAAGATCTTATTGCTTTAAGATTTTAGCTTATAATAGTGTTCACATAATTTCATTTTCAATCCATTTAACTTCTGTATATAATAACTAGCAATTATAATAATTTACCTGTTTTTTAGATTATTGCTCAAATCAGGAACATAACAGTACATAAAACCTAAAATATAATATCAATCAACAAGTGATATCGACAAAAAAGTACATACAATGTGAAAGAATATAAAAAATAGCATCATAAGATAAGGAAATAAAGAAAAGAGAGAAAGGGAAAAGAAAAAAAAGCATTAAAGGTTTTTTGTAAAACACGTGCTAATTTAAGATTACTTAAATGAAGATATTAAAAGCAGAGCATATTTTGACCACTTTTAAAGCTTTCTTATTAGCCGATCCTGAAATCAACTTTATATAATTCTCCATATCGTTAATGAAGACTACAAAGGCAGGTTAACTATTTGAGAATTTGCATTTGTGAATGTAATATTTACTTAAGAAAGTAATTTTATTTATAAAAAACATTATTTTCTTTTGTGGGGTCTGAGTCTAAATACCCAAATATAATATATTGCTGAAGAATCTTCACCTCAACAAAAATAAATCTATATTAATCCGTAACTGCTGAATGTAATGACATGACCAAAACAAATGTGTCACCGTTTCGTCACCATTCACACAAAAATAACAACTCAAGTCAGTGTCAACTCTAAACTTTTGAATAACTTTCTTAACAGGAAAAAAAAACCTATGGATCAGTTAAAAAAAACTACTTTTCTTTTGTTCACTTATTTGTGAGAAAGAATTTTTGCTGTAATGACCAGATTTTCCCCCAGTTAAGTTTATTTAAAAGGTTTTTCCAAAAGAAGATACTGTGTGGAGTGGATGCAGACCTAGTGCAGATGCAATCTAAACTGCATGCAATGCTTTTTAATGAGCTCACCTAACCCCACCCCTAACCCATCACTAGCTCCATTGAGTGCATTGTGCCTGACATTGCAGTAGCAGCTTGCATCATAAAGGCTGCTTCCAGATACTATTGAAATTAATTGAAAACATTTTATAATATCACCCGTTTCTTTGAAAAAGGGTTAACTTTTACTGTCAACATTATATCGATAATATAAAAAATGCAATTAAACTAAACATAATAAACAATAATGACACATGCATTACAAAATATAAAATTAGAATAACATTAAAGTAATATAATTATAATATAAATAATTTTTATTCAATAATATGTATTATTGTATCTTACTGTCATATGTGGATAGTTCACCCACAAATGTAAACGTCCTCACCATTTACTCACACTCAAGTGGTTCTATAATTTTAGTTAAAAAAATTCTTCTGTTGAACACAAAGGAAAATCTCATCTCATCTCATTTTTGTCTGCTTTTCTGGGGCTGGGTCGTGGGAGAGAACCTCAGACTTCCCTCTCCCCAGACATTTCCTCAAGATTTTCAGAAAGGATCCCGAGGCGTTCCCAGGCCTCCCTGGGTTGGTGTTCAGGAGGCATCTGAAACAGATGCCTGACATCCCTTGATGTGGAGGAGCAGCGGCTCTACTCCGAGCTTACCATATTTTTATTCATAACCTACTGAAGAGAGAAAAAAAAAAAAGTTGTTTATAGTTACTATATGCTACATAGTTGCTATAGTAGCTTATAAAATAAATACTAGTTCTACTGGATTACGACCCCTTTGGTAATTACATAATATTAAAGAAACAGCAATAGTGTCAGATGCAGCAAATTGATTTTATAGACATACATTAAAAAATTTAATGAAGAATATGCCTGTGTGTGTGTGTGTGTGTGTGTGTGTGTGTGTGTGTGTGTGTGTGTGTGTGTCAGTGCCATTGCATTCAAGATTTTTGTATTTCTAACCACCTAAGAGGATATTGGGGGTCGCGAGACACTGGCAGTGTCATTTTGGGGGTTGCAGGCTGAAAAGTTTGGGAACCCCTGGATTAAATGACCCATCGGAAATGCCAAGTGAGAAAAGTTGAATGTGCTGGGCAGTTTATTTGTCTTCTTACTGACAATAGACTACAATTTTTAATTTAAAACTTTAACATATTCCTATTTGTTTTTTAATGATATATATATATATATGATGCAATATTTTTGTTTTTTAAAAATAAGTATTTATTCTTATTTCTTTACTTTTTTTGGTGAACTATCCCTTTAATAATGTTTGCTTTCTACATCACATGACACACACCTAGCCAATCAGCGGTCAGCTTAAGGTCCTGGAAACGCTTCTGGGCGTAACCACAGTGCTGCTGTTTTCCTCTCTAGGTTTCTGTTGTATTTCTGTTCTTAAACTACCTGCCCCGCTAATCATTTTGTTTCTAGCCATATACGATATCCAACCGGGGCAAGACAGGCACAACTCTGACAGGTACACAAGACCATCTCTTTACTAAGCATCATTATAAATCCACAACACACACCGACACATTAAATCTGCACTTTTCATGTTCTAATGAACACATAGCGGCTCTGTGATCAGTAAAATGTCTGTTTATATGGTTCAGGAAGGCGATAGAGAGCTAGCCGGCTAACGTTAGCCGCCAGTGCTGGTCGTGATATAGGCTTTTAGGGGCTGTCAGTCTGTTTGAACTGTTGATTTTGACAGATCAAGGGCCGGTCGGGCCCGATCTTCTTCATTCTAGTTATCACACGGATGATTGCTATTATCTTGTGCGCTAACCTTCAGCCACACTCCGAGACAGTGGCCCAAGGTTAGACAGGCTGTGTATATGCATGCATTAAACATCCTTATAGATTTCGGTTGCAGTTTTGATTGTGACGAGCACCTGTCATCCTGTTTTTCTGCATGTTTTGTTTCAGTTAAGTCGGACATTTTAGCTCCTTGCTTCGGCTTTGATGGGATTTGGCTGGATTTTTCATCCCTCACTGTTGTGATGCTGAAATAACAGCACAGCTGATGTTTTTTCGACAGCATTGTGTTTCCTTTATCCTGCATGACCGTTAGAGCAAAAACACGAATTTATAACAGCAGGAATTGTGTAAGCTTCCCACTTTATTTCCTTCCTCTCTAATGTCAATGGTGTGACAGGGTGTACTAATAAAACACTTTGAATTGTGTGTTTTTATGGTTGCACGATGCGACATTTGCTGCACCTGCATATCTAGATTAAGGTACAATTAGTTTTATAATCGCACATTTGTCCATTTTTGAACAGTGATAACTTATGACAGGGTCTCTATATTGTATACCATGGTACTTAGAAAATTCGGTATGATATCGCATGTAATATGACTTCAAAACAACTTTAGCATTATTTATGTGAACAATGTTGTACCTTGATAAGCACTTGCTGTTATATCTCTTATATAATATCACTATTTTGAATTTGCTAAGACTTATTTTCTGAAATTATATTATAAAGCAGAAACTCTGAATGTGCGAATATAAGACCAACTTTACCTCAGTCATATCTGAAATTGCCGGTGGTTTGAGGGTTGGAATATTGTCTCCACAACCCTTGTGTCATTTGCTTTATATGGTGTGTTTCCATTTAAATTATTTATTTTTGCATTCAGGACTGAAACAGGTTGTGTCGAGCCATGGCATTCAGTAAAGGTTATCGTATTTATCACAAGCTGGATCCACCTCCATACAGTGTGATTGTGGAGACCAGAAATCGAGAAGAATGTCTGATGTTCGAGTCTGGAGCTGTTGCTGTACTGTGTAAGACTGTCCACACCCTGAGTTACTGAATTAAACTATTAAATGTTTAGTTAGCATTGATTCTCTGTCTTTCTTAGGTGTAAGAATCAAAACAAAATGACACATTTAAGTATTTATTTCATCTTAATAGTATGTAGTATTATGGCATGTAGATTTTAAGTAAATATTTTGATGTCATCCACAGCGGCGGCAGAGAAAGAGACCATAAAAGCATCGTACACCAAGATGCTGGATGCCTATGGGATCCTGGGAGTTCTGCGTCTGAACCTTGGTACAGTTTCTCAGCCTCTGTTTTTATTTTGGCGGGTACTTGCTAATTCTGTTTGTTTTCATAACAAATCCAAATCCACCCTGTCGCCGGATTAAAAGAAAAATAGATAATTCTGAAGATAATCACCAAAACACTGAAATTCACACCAAAACAAACATTTGTGGAGGGTTAATGCATAACATACTATATAGTCAATAATTACAGTGTAACTTTGAGACTGGCCATGTACTTGTTTGTACTTGTCTTATGTTTAACTGTCATCTTTTAAAGGTCTTGGCAGTATGCATTGTCTGTATTGAAAAAAAAATATCTCAATATTTTGGGGTAATTTTCAGTAACTAAAGTTAAACTATACAGTATGTTGCTAAGTGTATGTTTGTGCAGGTTTAGTTCTGTTACTGATGAATAAATATGACACTATAACTGCCAGTAGGTGTGGCACCAAGTCCCTTTCCTAATGAGTGATTCACTTACTCGTTCATTCAAATGTTTCATTCAAAATGGCTGATTCATTTAGAAAAGAAATAGGGGACCATCTTTATAAATGGATTCTATCATTGGCTCAAAAATGGTTTCCTTCTGGAACTCAACTCTGCAGTGCTACTTGTGAGATGCGCAAATGTTCTGCTTTGGCTTTCTATTTTTTTTAGCGAAACAGAAAAAAACAGACAATATTGTGTCTAAAATGTAACTTAGTGTCAATTTGTTGTTGGAAATTAATTGATGTGTATAATAAATAATAGATTTGCGCTCATTTGCGTGGTTAAGAATATTGTGGCTGAAGCATCAAACTGATGTCAACAGAGAAGGACCGCCACTCCAAAAACAGAAGCAAATGGTCAAACGTTAATTAAAGATTACTAAAACAAACTTCAGCATGGATTAATTGTTCAATTAAAAGAAAACAATGTGCGCTATATAAAAAAGTTTGTAAATTTTAATTTTACTAAAAGCTGTTTTCTAATAGGCTTAATCCTAAATCATCAAAAAATATATTTTTGCTTGTCAAATTCAATAATGCTAGTTCAGTCGGCGCTAATGGTGTAGTGGGTAGTGCGTCAACACATGGCACCCCATGATTCCCGCCTTGAGGTCCTATGCCGATCCTTCCCCCTAACACTTTCCTGTCTATACTCTCTACCCATTCAATTAAAGGAGAAAAAAAAATGTCAGTTCACACAATGTTAAAACAACAATTACGATATAAACAATCGACCATAAATAGTACTCACTTTGACATTGATAGATTTTTCAGTAACTGATTCTTTTTCACATTTTTGTCTCTCAAATCCTGAATTTTTACAAAATATGCTTAAGCTACAAACTGACCTTCATTTTTCTTCCACAGGTGATTCTATGCTGCACAGTCTGGTGGTCGTAACAGGCTGCAGCTCAGTGGGAAAAGTCCAGGATTCAGAAGTTTTTCGGGTAACAGGCACAGACTTTGTCTCTCTGAAGAATGACCCCACGGATGAGGACCGGATCGCTGATGTCAGGAAAGTCTTAAACTCTGGGAACTTCTATTTCGCCTGGTCCTCAACTGGAGTGAGTCTGGATCTCAGCTTGAATGCCCATCGCAGAATCAGAGAAGACACATCCGACAATCGCTTTTTCTGGTGGGTATTTCTCAAACCTCCTTTTAATTTGTTTTCAGTTGATTCAGTCACAAGTTCAATTAAGTTGTCTCATGGGATTTGTTTCATGTGTCAAGAAATATTTTCTTGTAAACCAAATCTCACTTGCTCAGATTGCTGAATGGGTAGAGGATACATGGATGTGATGGCTTTGTAATTATATATTAACCATGCAGGAATCAGTCCCTTCATCTCCATCTCAAGCATTATGGGGTGAACTGTGACGACTGGCTTCTGAGATTGATGTGTGGTGGCGTGGAGATCCGCACCATCTATGCTGGGCACAAACAGGCCAAAGCTTGTGTGATTTCTCGGCTCAGTTCGGAGAGAGCAGGCACACGTTTCAATGTCCGAGGCACGAATGATGATGGCCAGGTGGCCAATTTTGTGGAGACTGAGCAGGTATGCCAACAATATGATTTACCTTCAAGTAGGACTGGGCGATTCTGCAAAAAAAGTATGAAAATATCATATTTTAAATCATTTGATATCGATAATTATCTAATTTTTTAACAATACATTTGTATTGGAATAATTTGTAACCTTTTTTTTAGTATTTACCAACATTACTAAGCACAAAGCAAATAATTTTAATAGTCAAAAAGAAAAATATCTAAACAAATTATCTCATCTCTTTATAATAAAATAAACAATAGTGTTACAGAGACTCTTAAACTTGATAAATAAAATGTTACAAAGTGTGCGCAATGATAAAGGAAGAGGTAGATCAACATCTGTAAAGTGTCAATAATAATGATACAGTAAACCTCAAACTCTGTTAACAAATTCTGATAATCAAATCTAAGCTTTGAAGTAAAGGAACCAACCATCAATATTCAAATACATATTGCAAGATTCCAAATTGTGAAGTTGGATGACTATATTACCCCCTATGCTAAAAAATATTTCAGATGGGGAGCCAGTGGCTGGGATGCACAAGAAAAGAAACCAAAAAGCCACTCTGGTGACATCCTTACATTTTGTTTATTGTTTACAATCTTTCTCACTGCTGTGAGACAGCACTCTGTTTTGAATGTGTTGTTAATCTGACCTGAAGTGGCAAGTGCTTGCACGTGCTTTCTTTCACCATTTTCTATGGTGTCTCTCATAACTCGCCAACCATCAACCATTTTCTCAAAGGATGACAAACGGACAAATTGCAGCAGCTTCAAAAGAAGTTTATGGTGAAAAGTAAAATGCAATGCTGTTTTTGGGTGTGCTGTGTTTGTCTGAGGTAATTAGTGTGCCGTTACTGAAATGTATATATTATTTTCATACGAAGTGTGAAGCACATTGGTTCGTTCTATTTGCATGAATCACTGTAAGCTTGGGGCATTCGGAAAAGTTCAGGGGCCTCATGTACGAAGACTTGCGTGGAAATCTTACTAAAACATTGCGTACGCACAAAGCTGTAAATGTGCGTACGCAGAAAAAATTTCAGATGTATGAAACACTGCGTACGCCGAATCTCACGCATATTCTTTTGTACATCCGAATGAACGTGAAACTGAGCGCAACATGCACGAGCGCAAAACCCCTCCCTGCCTCCTCCCCCGTATGAATATGCTAATGACTATGCTAATGGCAAAACCCAACGAAAAAGCAATGGCAAAAGCAAGCAAAAAGAGAAACTTTGAACAAAATGTGAATTGGAGGTACTGCTTTCGGAGGTAGACCGGAGAAAAGCGGTGTTATTTGCAAGTTTGTTCTCCGGAATTAACAACAAAAGAAAAAAAATAGAGTGGGAGAGTTTAGCTGATGCGGTCAACACAGTTGGGTCTGAACATCGCACTGAGTGCATTAAAAAAAATTAATTGTCTGGTTTATATTTGTAAAATGTTGCAACACTCTTAACAGTCTCAGTGGCGCGCTCGTAAGACGCATGTGGTCATGTTTTGACACGTTCGAGCATGAACTCGGCTCGAATCCAGCGTCTGATGAACTCTTTCTTCTTTTTTTCCCCCGCTACATATCAGATTTTGCCTACTATTTATCACGAGAAAGACAAGTAGGAATCATCAATAAGTTTGTGCATATTTTATTTGCACATTTATTGAATGGAAATGTTTCTGATTCACGAATGCAAATTCATCTTCAGATGGTGCCTTTATAGCAATGTGCGTGCAGTAGATAGCTCAGATTACATTGGGAAAACAGGCGACTGCTGCAAATTGTGCTTTAATGTTTAGCTGGTCAACTGTATGATATGGAAACCTTACATACCTACTAGATGAACCCGTCTCATACAGCTGCCATTGCAAGGCTCAGACACTTTGTAGAGAGGAATTTAACACAACTGCCTCTAGGAGTCGCCAATGGAAATAAAACAGACACGCACAAAAAATGTGCGTACGCCAGCCAGAAAGCTGCCGTGAAGCTGCGCACATTCCCACGTTCAGTTCCTTGTTAGTAAATCCAAACGTGAGCGATTCTGAGCGTGAAACCTGGCGTACGCAAAGTTTTTGTGCGTACGCAGCGTTGATACATGAGGCCCCAGATGTTTTTCAACTAGGTGCACCTGGAAAATGTGCCTCTATTTGAAATGACAAACTGACAGCCTAAGCTTATTGGTACTGCTTCCAAGGCGCATGCTCAACAGCTGCATTTAAATACAGAAATACCAACTGCTCTATACTGAATCTTTTTTTAATCGATATTAACTATAGTGTTCGGTCAATAAATATCGATACTGATTTTATCGCCCAGCCCTACCTTCAAGTCACCTTTAAACTCACTTTATTAATATTCTAATGGACTTCGGTCATTATAGACCAAGGTTTAGTATTTTTCAGATAATAAAAATGGTTGTTGTCATGGAATGCTGAAAAACTTGAGGACTTTCGTGACTCTTGTAGCAATGCTGGTTCACACATAACGCAATTTTAAGTATGTGTAGATTACATACAAGCAAAGTAAATGAAAAAAATGTGTGAATAGGAGCAAATTTCCACCGTGTGGTGTAAATGATGTGGAATGTGTGATGTGTTTGTCGTGAGCCATGGAATTTGCCTTAAGGACATTTTTCATGCAAGTTAAAAAAATTAAACTCTTGTGGAAAATCCACATGAGCCGAAAAACATCCCCTGAGTAATCTAGAGAGAGCAAATTAATCATTCGCTTTGTGTTAACCCAGCATAATAAATCTAAAAATTAGCGATATAATAAGAAATTACTAAATGGTGTCAAAAATAACCTCCATACATAACTCTATGCATATATACATAATTACAATCAGCATCAATAGAACTTAAAATATATATAAAAATGAAAATACATGGTGTGTAACTTAAAGGTGGACATTGTCTAGAATCTTGAAGTCCCCTCAAAGTACAGAATATAAATAAATAAAAGTTATTGAAACTCAATTTGCTATGTTTTTTTAGTAGAAAAAAAATGACCCTTTAGTGAGAAATACAAGTAAAATATACCAAATGTGACATGCCAATGCTGAGGTTCTGTTTTCACTTGTGTTCCTTGCAGATTATTTTCCTTGATGACAAAGTATCCTCCTTCATTCAGATCCGAGGGTCAATACCGCTATTCTGGGAGCAGCCGGGAATTCAGGTACCATAAAGCCTTGAATCAATATGACGTATGCATGTATTCAAATCGCACTGAGGAATAATATTTGCATTGCGCTCCACTGAACCGAGTCTGTTTGAGATCCAAACCCCTGCTGAGTCATCATAATCAACTAATTCTCTTGTATTTCCACCTCGCCTCACACACAGCCACTGCTGACCCGCTTTATTCATATTATCAGAAACACTCGATTCAGGGGATTTTGTCGCAGCTGAATCAAAGTCGAGAGCCGAAAGGACAGCATGGAAAGCAGCAGCTGGTATTTCGAAGGTTTAGTTTTGTCTGGTGGTTGATCTGTTCTTTACTGTGAAGAGTCTGTGCAATGTTAGTCAGTGAAAGCTGCATCTAAACAAACTCATTTTGGAAAAGAGCCAGATTTTGGAGAAATGTAAAGCCTTCTTTTGAAATCTGTTAAAGATGCCAGGAAGCAGGTCTGGAAATGCCTGTGTCTTTCCTCTGACATTGCATAGACGTTATCAGCGCTGCTTTTAGTGGGAAGCTGGTGAGGTGACCCTTCTTGAGCTGTTTTTTCAAAGCTTTCCACAGAACCTGAATGACAGGTGGCATTGCAGGCCATAGCGGAATTGGTTAAAGGGATAGTTCACCCAAAAATGAAAATTCTGTCATAATTTAACTCATCCTCCACTTGTTTCAAACCTTTTTCAGTTTCCTTCCAATAGCTATGTTTCCATCCAATTATATGAAACATTTGCAAATAAAGCAGTTTCCATCCAGTGAGCAGTATCGGCAGATTTCAGTAGATTTTCAATAATTTGTGTACAATTTAGTCTTTAAAAGCGGTTTTCTTAATCAAACTCAGTTCCTGGAGGGCCGCAGCCCTGCATAGTTTAGTTGCAACTTAGCTTCAACACACTTACCTATAGGTGTCAAACCAGACTGAATGACTCAATTAGTTTGATCAGGTGTGTTTAATTAGGGTTGGAACTAAACTGTGCAGAGCTGCAGCCCTCCAGGAACTGAGTTTGACATCTGTGCTTTAAAGTAATATGTTCTGTCTTTCTGTCTTCAGTCTGTAATTGCTGGCAAAAGTGCATTAACAAAGTATTGAGCAGAGGCTTTGAATACTTCTGTACATGTGATATTTCAGGTGTTTTATTTTGAATTAATTTGCAAAAATTTCAAAAAATCTTTTTTTTCACATTTTCATTATGGGGTATTGTATGTGGATTTTAGAGGAAATAAATTAATTTAATCAATTTTGGAATAAAGCTGTAACATAAAAAAATGTGGAAAAAGTGAAGCGCTATGAATACTTTCCGAGTGCACTGTAAGAGACCAACTGTAGCTTTGTTTAGTTTTAGTTTTGGTTGTAAAGCTTAAATAAAAGTTATTTTTTATATTATATGTTCAGTTCCTACTCTCTCAGAATCATTTTGCATAAATAAAGAGAACACTATTACTATTGCAACTTCTTGATAAACTGGTGACAAGTATCAAAAAGAAAAAATTGCTGTTGTATAAGAAGTTAGTGTGGACCTTTTTTTCCACATTTTTTTATTACTTGCACCTCGGAAGGTGAAGACTAAATAAAAATGAGCACGGGTTGGCTTTTGGTAGCGTAAGATGCTTTTTGGGAGCACAGCTGCTCAAGACAGTTCTGAACAGTATTAATACTGAACCACTTTGATGTCAGACTTTGGTTTAAGGGATTTTAGAATGACCATTACATCTTAGAGTGACCATTAATACCATTCCACTACACATTCCTGTTATCACGTGATCAAATAAACAAAAAAATCACATATTTTTTATTCTTATGCTAGAATATATTCTCTAAATGTGTTTACTTTCTAATTTATGCACATTTTTGTTATTGGATAAGTTTATCCTACTCAGAAGTTTTTTTTTTAATCTATGCACATCTTGCAAGTTTTCATTAAGCGTTTTTTAAATGATAACCCAAAATATGCGTAAAAGTAGGTGATTTGCAACATAGCTAATCTTAAAAACAAAATACATTTCGAAAAATGTTGTAAACTAGTATTCATTGACTTTCGTAGTACTCTTTTCCTACTATCAGTGGCTACTAGTATCCAACAATCAAAATATTTTTTTTTGTTCAACAAAAAAATAAGTGGATACACTTGAAGGAGAGTTAATAGCGAGGAAATTAATTTTTTTTAATGGTGAACTGCCCCTTTAAAGGATTCCACTGTCTTCAAAGCTAGGTGTGAAATCAAGGAAGTAGTCGCCACATGATACTTTTTCTTTGCTCCCAAAAGCTCATGGTAATGTGAGCTTGTCGTTGCTGCCATTCCAAGTGTATGAAATTTTAATGGCCAGAGCAGAGGCAACAAACAGAACTGGGTGGGTCAGACCGACGCCTGCTTTTTAATGCCAGCAACAACCCTTTGTTGGATATAGAGCGAAACAGTCATCTAACATCTCATGCATATTGGAAAAACAATGTAAATACTATGTTGACATATTTAGTAATAATCAATTTTATTCGTCAAAGGGACAGTTCATCAAAAAAATGGAAATTGTTATCATTTACTTACCAATTTATTTGTTCCAAACCTGCTTGACTTTCTTTTGTTAAACACAAAAGAAGATACTTTGAAGAATGCTGGAAACCTATAACCATTGACTTCCATTTTATTTGTTTTTCTACTACAGAAGTGGTTAAAGGTTTTCATTTTTAATGTTCAACATAATAAAGAATATCATCAATGTTTGGAATAATTTGATGATGAGCAAATAGTGAGTACATTTCAATTTTTAGGTGAACTATCCCTTTAATTTTGAACCATTTTGAAGTACTTTTTGGTAACACTGGTAAATACACTTGGGTTAAAATTTTAAAACGTAAACTGGTAAAATAAATTGTACCAAGAAAATAGGCAAATGTTAAAGAACAGTCTATAAATGCTATTTCAGTGTCACCCTTGTTAAATAAAATGCTATGAACCATTCATATGAAAGGAAGAGGAACCAATTGTGTTCAAAGGTGTAACCATTTCATTGAGCGAGACTGCAGGAAATGAGAAGTTAGTCATAGCCTAGATGAAAAAAGTCTTCTGTTTTTTATGATGGCTGGAAGTTTAAATATAAATCATTATACGCAAGGCTGTGAGGCCATTTGGTCAAATGTCACATAACTAGAAAACCATTATAGATATGAGCTTTCTGCTAGTAGTTGTTACTCCATTAGATACTCCAACAGCATGCATCATGACTGTTTAGCCAGTTTATAAATTTGTAATTGATGCGATTTCGAGCATAATCGGTATTTTTGATATTAGTGAGTTTCTGAAATCATACGTTATGGCTCTACTGTCTTATTCTGCTCAAATGCAGCTCTACTCAGCAGGCTGGCAAAGCCTGTGTGTTTTCTTTCTCATCTTCCTTCCCTCTGCCACCTTCATTTCATCTGCATCAAGTATGAAACGGCTCATTTTCTCTTTATTTGCTTTTTTGTCTTTCCTCAAAGGTTGGATCCCACCGCGTTAAGCTGTCCCGTGGTTTTGAAGCCAACGCGCCGGCTTTTGAAAGGTAGTTACGATTCTGCTGCTCTCTGATTATGATCGTGATGGTGTCCTGCTGCTCTGGTTAAAGCTCAAACATTAGTGCATGATGAAAGTGAATCGGCTCATTTGCTTCCGTCAGTGCTGTTATTTAAATGGGTGGTGAAGTCAGCTATTTTTGATAGGTCTTGATTCTGTTCATGGTGTGCGCTTGAACATCTCTATGCTTTTTAAAAAAAAAAATAATTATGTATTTTAACTGTAATATTTACTTATGATTCTCTTTTCCTTTAAGGTATAGTTCACCCAAAAATGAAAATGTCCTCGTCATGTATTCAAACTCTTCTTCGCATCTCATCTTATCCTAACACATCTTATCTTTTCATATCTTATCATATCATATCGTATTGTATCTTATCGTATTGTAACGTATCGCATCTTAATGTAACTTAACGTATCTTTTCATGTCGTATCGTGTCTTAACGTATCATATCTTAATGTATATTATCGTATAGTACCTTATCGTACCTTATCTTATCGTATTTTATTATATCTTATCGTATCGCATCTTTACGCATCTTGATGTATCTTATCGTATCTTATTATATATTATCATATCGCATCTTTACGCATCTTAATGTATCTTATCTTACTGTATCCTAACGTATCATATCTTATTGTATCCTATCTTAACGTATCGCATCTTAACGTATCTTATCGTATCTTATCTTATCATATCTTATCGTATGATATGGTTATGGTATCGTATCCTGTTGTGTCGTATCCTGTCTTAACGTTTCGCATCTTAACGTGTCTTATCAAGTCGTATTGTTTCGCATCTTAACGTATCTTAACGTATCTTAACGTATCTTGATGTATCTTGATGTATCTTATCGTATCTTATTATATCTTATCGTATCGCATCTTTACGCATCTTAATGTATCTTATCGTATCTTATCTTACTGTATCCTAACGTATCATATCTTATCTTATCGTATCGTATCATATCTTAACGTATCGCATCTTAACGTATCGCATCTTATCATATCTTATCGTATGATATGGTTATGGTATTGTATCCTGTTGCGTCGTATCCTGTCTTAATGTATTGCATCTCAACGTGTCTTATCGTGTCTTATTGTATCGCATCTTAACGTATCTTAATGTATCTTGATGTATCTTGACGTATCTTATCGTATCTTATTGTATCTTATCTTATAATATTAACATTCTTTAAAATATCTTATTTTGTGTTCAATAGAATAAATTAACTTAAACTGTTTTGGAACAAGTTGTTTATGAGTAAATGATGTGACAGAGTTTTCATTTTTGGGTGAACTGTACCTTTAATAGAATCTGTAGACGTTTTAGTTTTTTGAAGACCCTCCCTCAGAAATGCGCAGCGGACCCTGATTGACCCTAGTGTGTTATGATTTGCTAACTGCCTATTGAGCTTGGTCTACAAATGTCTAGAGTGTAAGGGCCCACTCACACTATGCTTTCTGAACAGTGCCCAGGCCTGTTTACCGGATTGTTTGAGAAGTGTGAGTGTTTTGAATCGAGCTCAGGTGCCCTGAGCACAGTTCACTTGGGCTTTGGTGCAGTACGCTTGTGTGCGAGTGCAAAACGCGCCTAAGCACGAAAATAAAAGCGAGATGGGACCGTTTCATATGGATTTATTAATCAATCTTATTGTACAGTGAACGCAAACTGTCACAGTTTATTAAAGACCCAAACCCCTCACTGCATGACACCTCCTAATTCCTGCAGCACGAGTACTTTATGATTGCTTATGAGCGTTAAAAGTGGCTGATATGTTCGGCGCAATATTTGACTGCCTGTCACTGCATATCAAACAACTTAAATGAAAAAGCTGAAGAAATCTCCACTGTGCTGAGCGAAAGCGCTTACTGAACAGCGCAGCATCGATGACGTAATCGTGCCCAGGCCCGAATGTACTGTAATGTGAGTGCGGGCCATCGGGGGAGATGGGAGGGGGGACAATCGTGCTTTGGCCCGGTTCAAGGTAACTGTACATAGTGTGAGTACGCCCTAAAATAGAGATGCCAGGGTGGGGTTTATGCACATTTTGTTGGATTTTTTATGTTGGTGATGTTCTAAATCCAGCAAGAAGTTTGTTTTAGTCTCTACTAAGCATTAGTTGTAGGCGTTAATGAGCAAAATATCTCCCGTTGCATTAAAGTATGAGCGATGTAACTTTGTCGATGTTGTTTATGCTCACATTGCAACTGAACACGCTAACTGAAGTTTAAAAAGTAAGTTCATAATCATGCACTGTTTGTGCTTTAGTGCAGAGTTGCACAGTTTGGATGGGCAAGTTCAGTCGTGCCTAAGCATGTGTTTTCAAACAGTCGCTGGGTAATTGGGTCTGTCAGAGGCTGATCAGATGGGTTTCGTTGGTGGCGTTTATAGACAGCACAGCTGGATGAAGTGCAGCAGGGGGTCTTGAGGCGCAGTTTAAAAGTGAAACTTTTTAAGTGGACTTATTGCTGTTTTATAAATGCAGACTATGGATATCTAATATAAAGTGGGACCAAAATAATATGTGCTATACATTGCAAATGTTAAAAGACTAAATATATAAAAATAGAAGTAATTATTAGGAATTAAAAATGGTATTTCTACTAAACTAAATTGCCGGTGTTTAAATAAAATAAATGTTTAAAAACTGCAGTTTTTTTTTATAATTACATTTTTTATAATAATTTTAAAAAAAATGTAAAAACCTTTTGTGTGAAATACTGTAATGTATGATTTATTTTATTCCATTTAATTTAGTTGTTTGTACATAAATAAAAATGTTTAAACTGTTGAAACTGAAACAAATGTTAAAAACAAAATATTAAAAATTAACTAAATATTGCTTCACCTAAGTTTTTTTAATATGTTTTTTTAATTGTATTCATATTTTTTTGTTAAATCAAGTAGTGAATGGTTTACATTATTCCACTCTGTTCAGTAGCGTGTTGTTGTGTTTTTATTTCCTTTTTTTTTTAACTAAAGCCAGTTGACAATTTTTTGGGGTGCGGAAATGCAAAACTAATGTTCTACTGAACACTATGATTTGCTGGGTGTGTGCAACTGCTTTTTATATTATTAATTATTTTATTATCAAAGTAAATAATCCTTTTACATACTGTATAGCACAATTGTTGTGAAAATGTATTCATTTTTTTTATTTAAACAAATTTTTGCAATGCATGCAAGTACTTTCAAATCAAAACAACTTAAAAACCTAAACCAATTATTTATCAAAGGTTACATTGGATCCAATGACAAGTCTAGAAGAGTCTGTGTTAGCCTGTTCAAGCATTTGCTACATTGCAGCAGACTGATAACCCCCATGACCTTTTAAAGGTTACTATAGAAATACTCCCTCAGTGCTCTTCCTCAATAATATTCCCTTTAAAACATGACTAGGTTGTTTAAATAATAAGATCACCATAAAGTAAACCTAATCCTGACTTGTTGTGAGTGGTATTTGTTGTGATTTAGCTGTGGCTTACGCTGAGCATCATGGTATTTTCTTTTTTTTTATCATGAGTCACGCTTCTGCTGAGTCAGGTCTGATGAGAGGAAGGAGACGCAGAAAACACAGTCCTAAGGCTTCCGTTCCTCGTCCTCCATCTTTAATCATCTATTGATCACATCACTGCTTTCTTTGTTTTAAAGTCATCTTTTTAAAGCTACTTATTGATTCCATCTCAGAAGGATCAATGTTTTAAATGAGTCTTAAAGGGACAATTCACCCAAAAATGTAAATTCTGACATCATTTATTCATCCTCCTTTTGTTCCAATCCTTTTTGAAATTCTTCTTCTGTTGAACAAAAAATAAGATAATTTGAAGAATGAGGGCCCATTGACTTCCATTTTTTGATTTTTACTATGGATGTCAATGACTACCAGTTTCCAGCATTCCTCATAATGTTTGAATGAATGAATTTTTGTATTCAGCAATTTAATAAACCCATTATTATATGAGGGTGAGTAAATGGATTTTCAGTAACACTTTAAAATAATGGTGTATTTAGTTAATGTATTTACTAACATTAAGTATGAATAATCTTGTAAAACAGTTATCAATCCTAGTTCAACATTAACTAATGCATTATTAAAATTCAAAGTTAGCATTGTTAACTTTGCTTGTTGCTTGTTAACATTTGTTCATGCACAGTGAGCTAATTTTTCTTAAATAACATTAACAAACATAAATAAATTCCTTAATAAATGTATTACTAATAGTTTCTTCATGTTCGTAACTGCATTAACTAATTGATTATTATTTTAAAGTGTTGTTTTTTTGTGGATTTTCTAGCAATGATTATTTTTAGCAGCTCAGACTCACTGGAAAAACTTGTCTCTAACAATTAATAATTTTTACGCATTTTATAACTCCAAAAATGTAATGTAAAAATGTAATTAATATATAATAATTAATAATAATAATAAATAATAATTAATAATAATTGCATCACATAAAAATACATAAAGCATTTTATGTTAGGATCTGTTGACTTTTTCATTTAAATTTCATTTAATTTTTATAATGATTGATTGTTTGTATTCATGTTTTTCTGTTTTCATTTTTCTGAACACTGTTTTAATGTTTAATTGAAATTTTTGTAATAAAAACGCTTATTCCATTTAACAGTAAATTAAGGTCATGAAAGTAATTCAACTAATTTACAGCTTATACAATTAAAGTTTTACAAAAATGTTGTCAAAAATGACAACCATTCATACTCGCAGAACATTTAAACTTCATATTTAAATAGTTTTCGTGCAGTTTAATACTATTCACATACACATAATGCAGCATGATTAGATTTCCTTTAGATGTTGCATTATACATGAAAATACGTTCAATTCAGCTATTCGGTTTGGGTAGGAATTAGGTTAGTCAATTAGGTTTTCAGTTAACGTGCACAATAGCTCAGTATAATGTGCAAGTGTGCGGAATAAAAGTGTTTTAATCATAATTTTTGAACACTGTTAGGTTTAGTTTTGGTGACTATGTATACAGGTTTAGTGTTATTAGTGTGTTGAGCTTTGAGTGTCACTTGTTGGATTCATGTGAATAAACCATTGCAATAAAACGTTTCCACAGTAATCTTTATCTATTTCTGAGAAATCGAAAAGCTTTTTTTATTTGCACCACTCTCTGAAAATGTGGTGAACTATGCAGGAAACAATGTAATATAATATTTGCAAATATTTTGTCACATACTTGTGTTTTCATGTGGCTGGGTTGCTATTATTAACCCTCTTTGACATTTCCTGTGCAGACATTTCAGTGCTCTGAAAAGGCTGTATGGCAAACAGTTGATCATCAATCTTCTGGGAATGAAGGAGGGTGAACACATGCTCAGCAAAGCATTCCAGGTGATTGTTGTTTTATTTATTTTACATACTAGTCGGGCTACAGTGGATTAGTCGGTGCTTAAAGTGTGACCTGAGCATAAAGCAGTCATTCCGCTTCCTTTACCGTGTTTTGTTTTCGCCCACAGAGTCACCTCAAAGCTTCAGAGCATTCCAACGCTGTGAAAATGTTGAACTTTGACTATCATCAGATGGTTAAAGGAGGGAAGACTGAGAAGCTTCAGACTGTGCTGAAACCTCAGATCAGCAAGTTTGTGGAGGATTGTGATTTCTTCTACTACTCAGGGGAAACCGGCATTCAGAGGTGGGCCTTTTTGATAACTAGTCATTTTTCTTGAATGTACATATGTAATGGATGTTACATGTAAAGTATTTTATTAAAGAATCCTAGTTTTTCAAGGGACTTCATTACAATTTCACTGTGATATGGTCAAATATTGTGTGTGATATAATGTAATATGTGATGTGACAATATGTGTGATATAATACAATGTATAGACTAAAATGTGATGCAATACAATACGGAACTGCAGTGATTAATGAGTTGATAAAATGTGGATTAATCAAATAATTTAAATAAACAACAAGTAAAACACAATAAATTTTTTTAAATGTATTTATTTACATGTTTTGTGATTAATACATTAATAATCTATTAATTAATAACTTGTTTACATGATGAAAATATCTTTAATAAAAAGTTATAAGTGTTTTAAAATAGAAATAATTTTAGTTGTGTAAAGTGTAATAGTGAAAGTGTAAATGTTTTAAATTGTTGAAACATTAACCTAAAATAAAGTGAATATTTTTAACAAAAAATTGTGAATGTAATGGATAATTTGTTGCAAATTGTACAAAATCCGTAAATTAATTAAATTTACAGCAAGGTTTTATTGGTTAGCATTAGATAATACATGAACTATGCATTAAATATATCGCTAGTATATTTGCAGCAATGAGCAGTACGTTTGTATTTAATAATCTTTGTTAATATAAATATAATTGTTCATTGTTAGTTTATTTTAGCTCAGGTTTTTTTTTAACTAAAATGTTTACTTTAATAATGTATTTCTAACATGAACATTCAGCAAGCTTAATAAATACCTTAAAAGATGTTTTAATTGTTAGTTTAATTTACAAATCCGTTAATTTTTGTATTTTTTTGTTGTTAACAAATGGACTACTATTGTGTAATATTACTGAAATAACATTTTTAATTTAACAACTTATTTACAAAACACTATGAAGTAGTTGGCTAATGCTGATGATCAAAAATAGCCAAAACTAGCTGATTACATTTCTACCACTTTTTTTTTTTTTTTTTTTTTTTTACCACAGATGTCAAAGCGGAACCATCCGTTCCAACTGTCTGGACTGCTTGGACCGAACAAACAGCGTCCAGGCCTTTATTGCACTTGAGGTGCGTTTGTGATATGCATTGGTTTAAGCCCTGGTCAGATCACACGATTTTTATTGCCGGTTACGAAAATCTTTATGTCAGATTATGCGATTTTGTCTCGGTAAAATCTTGACTTTTCATGGATAACAAATGTCCCAGACTACACATTCCTTCACGATCAGTCATCCCGTGATGTCTATGATGAGCGTTATTTAAAGCTATAATAAGTGTTGCTATAACAATATTTCTTATCTCAATTTTTTTTTTATCTTAAATCAATCTCAGTAAACATTGATGCTTGCTGACAACTAAGCTACATTATTTAAAGGCATTCTTTATGATCTTGATAGGATCAAACGTATCATTCCTTTTTATATTAAGATAATTTCTTTGAAATCTAAATATATATTTTCCTGCCAATGTTGCTAATTATTAGCCTCTTGTCTAAACATGCTGCGAGTGAGACAGAAAATGAAATCACATCAGCAGCAAGGAAAATCAGATGCTCCAATGCTTTTGCAATGTATTCACAGCACTGAACATGTTCCCAGATTACCTAGGAAGAACAAACTCCGTTTGAAGGATGAGAAAACTCAGAAACTCCTTGTGAGAATGGAGATGTCTGCATATTTGTGCCAGTCTGTCAGTTAAAATTGCTTTAAACACCTTAATAATTTTGAAAAATAGTTGGAAGTTTGCATAACCAATGATTAATATTATCCACCTGTGACCCACCCATAAATAAATATGCAGCCTATTTTTTGATTACCTGACTGTTACATTAACGGCAGCACACGCTGAGATTGAAGAATGAGTAAAACAATTAAACATGCTGCGTTGGTTTCATGAGGCATTGCAGGCATGGTATTGTTTGTCGTGAACTATGCCACATTACACGAGAAGAAACGATTGAATCTTGTGTCACAATGCCCATTTGTCGTTTATGAATCCCCACGACACCCTACGTCAAGGAAATCGTGGCGAAATTGTGTGACCTGACTGGGGCTTTACTTGTTCCTAAAAACTTTTAGGGCTGCATTCATTCTTGTAATACGTCTCTGTTGTTTAGATGCTTCCCAAACAGCTGGAAGCCATGGGTTTGACAGAGAAACCTCAGCTGGTGGCTCGTTTTCAGGAGGTTTTCCGCTCCATGTGGTCCACCAATGGAGACTCCATCAGCAAGATCTACGCAGGCACTGGTGCTTTAGATGGCAAGGCTAAGGTACGTGTTGTCCTGTGAATCACAAGTAAAACAATACGCTGAATTCTCTCTCAACGGAGAAGTGAAAATGGGCGTTTTTTTGCTTTTGAGTTTATGACTGTCTCACTCATGTGTATGATGTTTCTCTTTGCATTCCTATGGCTCTTCCTCTACCTTTGTGGTAAGTTGACAGTAGCTTGTTGTTTCTATTTGAGTGAGTTGTAATGCTTTATTTATCCTGTCTGTGCTAGTTGAGAGAGATTAATGCAGCTGGGAGTGCTGTCAAGTTTAATTTGGACTCTTTTATAAGTGGCTATAAACGCCTGTGAACCTCTCCCAGTTTGGCCTCAGACCTTAGGATTCATCTTAGGCTATGTTTACACGACCATGATGTAGCCATAAATGAAAAATTTTACCATTGCATTTAATAAAAAAGGTAAAATACTTATATAATAAAGCTAAAATGTCCGTACTGTATGTGTGTGAATGAAAGTGTATGGGTGTTTCCCAGTGATGGGTTGCAGCTGGAAGGGTATCCTGTGTGTAGAACACATGCTGGATAAGTTGATGGTTCATTTCGCTGTGGTGACCCAGATTAAGAAACGAATGAATTAATTTACATAACAAAGTTTTCAAAACATTCCACATAAGTGAAAATTACCAAAAACACTGTATTACGTATGCCAGACCAGTATTTAGTGCTGTCACCTTGTCGTAATGTGAAGTAAATCTACACTTTTTTGACCAATTGTTAGCAAACAAAACTTCCACTTTGTAACCTGCTTTCAGATTTATGTGTTTTCATTTTCATAAGCATCGTTTTGTAAACAAACAGGCAAAACGCATAAATTAGTTCGAGTTTCTTGTTGCTTAAATGTCCACTAACTTACAGGGTGTGCGATTTTTGATGAATAAAAAGTCTTGATAAGCTTATAAGGCTTATGATAATTAACTGATATTTTGCTGAGTGTTTTTGTGACCGTGCTTTGGCTTGTTTTGTCCTGTAATGAATAAATAAATATGACCCTAAAATTTCAAGTGATTCAAGTGTTTAAAGTTTAAGTGATTCGTTCAAAGCATGACTCCTTTAAGTGTGGTCCTGAACAATCTATGTTTGAAGGAGTATCTAGCCCTTCCCCTTAGCCTTATGCCTTCAAGTTAAAGAGAATTGGGACACGCCTACCCCTCGTTTTGCATATTCACATGAAGGACTAGGGTTGTCCCAATTCTCTTAAGTAAGGGGAAGGGCTAAGGGGTAGAATTAGGCCTAACTCACTAGATTCGCTAGTCGCTAGATTCCAAACCCAAAATAAAATACAATATTGTGTGTAAAATGTAACTCACTTAAAACTGTTCATGAAACTAATAGCAAATTTGCAATTAAAGTCTTGGTTACGGAATACTAATAAAAAAAACATAGATTGTTGCTTTTATAACTTGAGTTAAATCTCAAAATTAAACATTCTAACTTCATTCTAACAGGCTTCGTCATGCAGTAAAAGCTCTCAAAAATGTTTAATCCTTAGTGCTAGCTCACAATTACATTATATTATCATAGACAGTAAATATTGCACATCATTACTAGTTAGATTTTAAAAAATTGGTGGTACAAAGAAATGTAAACATTCATTATTCCTTTGAATACATGTGCATGAGTGTTGTTGTTTTTTATTTTCTTGTTTTCAACTTTCAACCTTTCAGTCCTTAACCCTTTTTTTTTACTAACTATTTTGTTTGGTTTTGGTTTTGTTTTCTCGCAGGGCGGAAAGCTAAAAGATGGAGCTCGCTCGGTCACCAGAACCATCCAGAACAACTTCTTTGACAGCTCTAAACAGGAAGCCATTGACATCCTGAGACTGGGCAGCACCCTTAACAGTGACCTGGCAGATAAAGCACGAGCACTTCTCACGACAAGCAGCCTATATGGTACAATTTACAACAACACACTCCATTAGGGCTGAGCGGTACGACGGTATCTATCGTTAACGCAGAATGAAATGTGTACCGTAAAATAAGTGGGTATGGCCATTTTTGCTTTAAATAATTGTCAATATTTTCAACAAGAAAGTGATCACTTAGTTTCAATATTGATACAAGATCTGTAATTGTTTGAAGGGACAAATTGTTTCATATTTCTTTACAGTGTTTTCTTTTTTATATTTTCTTTTTTTCTGTTTTATTTTCCTGTTACTTGTGAAATGTTTACAACAATAAAAAAAAATAATAATAATCAAATAAGGGTGACACAGTGGCGCAGTAGGTAGTGCTGTCGCTCCATAGCAAGAAGGTCGCTGGTTCGAGCCTCGGCTGGGTCAATTTGCATTTCTGTGTGGAGTTTGTATGTTCTCCCTGTGTTTATGTGGGTCTCCACCGGGTGCTCCGTTTTCCCCCACTGTCCAAAGACATGCAGTACAGGTGAATTGGGTAGGCTAAATTGTATGTAGTGTATGTGTGGTAATGAGTGAGTATGTGTTTCCCAGTGATGGGTTGCAGCTGGAAGGACAGCCGCTGTATAAAACATATTCTGGATAAGTTGGCGGTTCATTCCGCTTTGGTGACCCCAGATTAATAAAGGGACCTAGCCGAAAATAAAATAAATGAATGAATAATCAAATAAGATCTCACGCTTTTCTTTTCTTGAATATTCAAGCTTATTTATTACATTATTATTACATAAATAATTATTTATTACTTAAATTTATAAAACAAAAAAAAATTATCTTTTCTGGAATAACTTCATTTGTAAAAAAAATTATCGGTAAAGGTATTGTTAGTGTGAAAAACTTCTCATACTGTGAAATCAGATTTTTGTCATACCGCCCAGCCCTACACTCCATATTACCAGAATTACACAAATGCAAAAGGTAAAATTAGTATAAGCTGAAAATAAAAAGTAAATAATAATAAAAAAAGAATATACTGTATAATTATATATAACATTGTAGCACTACATTACTCTCTCTCGCTACACACACAGACACACACTTTACATTATATATATATATACAGTTGAAGTCAAAATTATTAACCCCCCTGTGATTTTTATTTATTTTTTATTTCCCAAAATGATGTTTAACAGAGCAAGGAATTCTTCACAGTATTTCCTATAATATTTTTTCTGCTGGAGAAAGTCTTGATTGTTTTATTTTTGCTAGAATAAAAGCAGTTTGTTAATTTTTTTTAAAAACATTTTAAGGTTAACATTATTAATCGCCTTAAGCAATATTTATTTCGATTGTCTACGGAACAAACCACTGTTATACAATGACTTGCATAATGACCCCAACTTGCCTAATTAACCTAGTCAAGCCTTTAAATGACACTTTCAGCTGAATGCTTGTATCTTGAACAGTATGTAGTAAAATATTTACTGTCATCATGGCAAAGACATACATTAAATAATTTAACCTTTAAATATCTGGGGTATCATATAGTGTGTGCTATATACACCATTTTGAGAGATGTAAACAAAAACAATGGTCCCAATGTATTTCCTGTTTTACATTTTTAATTTCTATAGCTTCAGCGAATCCAGGAAGAGCCACATATTGATAAATAATATCACGACAGCTGCTTTAACATGAAGTTATTATTGAGTTGCTTCTTGTTACAGCTATGGAATAGTTTGATAGCAAGCAGGAAATGTTCATGGGCCAATGACATCACCAGATTGAAATGGTCTATTGAGAGAGCGTAATGTAGTACTATGTCGTTATATATGAATATGTACAATGTATTAAAACGTTTAAAATTCGTAGCAAATGCGTTTTTCACTTCACTGTTTCAGGTAAAGTTTCTTTGGTTTCTGTGTTTGTGGTCACGGTTTATGGGATCAGTCTGCTGTAGTGGACTGATTTCAACATGTGGATATGGATTTGAATGAGTTTCCTAATGCTAGCGTGCTAATCTGCGGCTCCCGGCTGCTTTGGGTGTGAGATTAGCTCTGAACCAGAGGGCTAATGCTGTTATCTGTCTAACGGCTAACTGTTAACCTCTCTCTCTCTCTCTCCCTTTCTTTTCTCTTCAATGCTTGCAACGTTAGTCTCTGAGCCAATTTTACAGTCAGGTATAGTATACACAAACCGACCATAAATCCATAACTGTTTATGGTTCCCTGTTTCATAAAATCAGTGTTTATTTTGGCGCTGCTGACTCTGTGCTGTGTGTTTGTACTTCGTGTAGCCTTTTACTATGGTGTGTTGTCTTGTTTTTTATATTTCTATCCAACTTTTAAGGACAAAATTCTGTCTTTTTGTTGTCTCTCATAGTGGTTTGATTAATGTCATCAAGATCTAATATGTTCTAGATATTATCTTAGAGGATATGAAATTATCGATTGAGTTTACATGCACATTCTTAACCCGATAATGCTTCAAAAGCTGACAATACAGTAGTCATGTATTCATCTTAACCCATTTTCCTTTGTCGGAGTAAAGTAATAAGGTATAAACCGATAATCAAAGCTAGATTTTTGCCTGTCACAATGATTTTATGCAAGTTAATGCATTAACCAACTTTCATATATAATAAAGTGTGTCCTTTCTGTGGGAATATATATGCAAACAAATTCCAGTCTTATGCAGTATAATTAGAAGTGGTACAATTAAAATACTGCGTAATATATGAGAAAAAATGATAATAATAGACTATATTAGTTTTAAGTTTCACATTAACATTGTCAAAATTTCTTTAGTTTTTAATGACATTTATTTTAATGACAGTTTGTTTAACATTATGGTCAACCTAAATTAAATATTCAGACTTAGAATAGCAAATGATTATTTTCTCATCACTATCAGGTAAAAAACTGGGCTGCGCATCGTAAAAGCATCCTATGTCTATGCTAAACGTAAAATTGATCGCAATACTAATCTTAATGTTACAGTCTGTTAACCAAAAGCATCCTAAGTTAAGTTGATCTACTACCAATGTCTTGTAATAATCATTGAAACCCTTTGTGCATTTTAAGAGGACTGTAGATAATTTAAAAAATAATTTAAATAAATAAATAAAATAAGTAAATAAATAAATTATTGAAATAAATAACGTGCGAAACTGGACAACAACAACAATTAAAACTAAAAATAAAATAAGTAATATATAAAATATGCTTCAAATACTGGGAAAAATAGGGATGAACTCTAAAAAATCTATTATTGACTTGCTGGTGATTACAAAAAAACAGTTTTGGCCATTTATATTTTTAAATGTTCTGTTTTTAAATGTATGTTAAGTTAAAACAAACTTATGTAAAGTTGTCCTCATTGTAATAATAATAATAACAGTAATTCCTTACATTTTATATAGCGCATTTCTGGACACTCAAATAGCTTTGCACATTGGTGTAAATTGGTGTTGGTGTTCCTCATCCACCACTAGTGTTCAGCATCCACCTGGATGATGCGACTGCAGCCATATTGTGCCAGACTGCACACCACACATCAGCTGATTGGTGGAGAAGAGACAGAGTGATGAAGCCAATTATGATATGGGAATAGTTAGGAGGGCAGGATAGACAGAGTGTAGTGGGCAAATTTGGCCAGGATGCCGGGGTTAAACCCCTACTCTTTTTCGAAGGACATCCTGGGATTTTTAATAATCACAGAGAGTCAGGACCTCGGTTTAACGTCTCAACCGAAAGACTGCGCCCACTGAGCAGTATAGTGTCCCCTTCACTTCACTGGGACGTTAGGACCCACACTGCTGCCGTAAAATGCTAAGTAGCACGTATAATGTATTCTCGCACATTTATGCTATGTGCAATTTTAGGAAACACATGTAGAATTGCGTCAGGTATTCGTAGCCTTGCTAGTAGAGAACGAAATACATCATTATCGAGAAACTCAGCCCTGATTTCTTAAAAAAATTCTTCTAAACATGGCTTACTTTCAATGCTGGGTTATTGGTTTGCATGTAAACCGGGACTGGTTATTTTAACTAGCTGAATTTTATGTGTTGTCATTGTGTAGTAATGCATGTAAATGTATTTATTTTGTTGTTGGTTATTGATTAAATATTGTACTGTTTTTAGCCTCTCCAAGGGTGCTTCTAGGCATGTGTCAGAACCACTTCAAATACACTCGGCCCAAGAAGATCCGAGTATGTGTGGGAACGTGGAACGTAAATGGAGGCAAACAGTTTCGCAGCATTGCGTTTCGTAACCATACGCTCAACGACTGGCTTCTGGATGCTCCTAAGAAAGCCGGACACCCAGAATTTCAGGGTTTGTGTTCATGCAAAGTCAATACAAATAGTGCTTTTAAGAGATGTGAGGTAGCCATTGGGTGACTCATTGACAGTGACTGCATATGTTCTAGTCTAATAGGTCTTCTTTTGTCATGCAGATGTCAAAAACAACCCTGTGGACATCTTTGCTATTGGTTTTGAGGAAATGGTGGAGCTGAATGCTGGTAATATAGTCAGCGCAAGGTAAGAACAGAAAAGATTTTAAAGTTTACTGGTTGTTTCATTTAAAAGCGCTTTTCCACCACTAAATATATATGTATATATATACATACATACATACATACATACATACATACATACATACATATATATATATATATATATATATATATATATATATATATATATATATATATATATATATATATATACACACACACACACACATACACATACATATACATATACATATGTGTATATATATATATATATATATGTGTGTGTGTGTGTGTGTGTGTGTGTGTGTGTGTGTGTAAATTCATTTATAATATTTAATATCCTCTGAGAAAATTTTTGTCTTTTCTTTTCTCTCTGACAGCACCACAAACCAAAAGCTGTGGGCCGCAGAGCTGCAGAAGAACATCTCCCGAGATCAACGATATGTCCTGCTGGCCTCAGAACAGCTGGTCGGTGTGTGTCTTTTCGTCTTCATTCGCCCTCAGCACGCACCCTTTATCAGGTAAAATGGTTTTGATTGTTTATAAAGCATCTCTAAACGTTTTCCAGTCTTCTGTGTTCTCATATTATTAGTTGTTTTGCTCAATCAGGGATGTTGCTGTAGACACAGTGAAGACTGGAATGGGCGGAGCCACTGGTAATAAGGGAGGCGTGGCTATTCGTATGCTCTTCCACACTACCAGCATCTGCTTCGTGTGTTCGCACTTTGCTGCCGGTCAATCACAAGTCAAAGAGAGGAACGACGACTATAATGAGATTGCACGCAAACTGTCCTTCCCCATGGTAAATATTTATGATGTGAAACATGCATTACTGCTATTCGTTCTCGAACACTTCCTTTTTGTAATAACATGATGTTATATTCCTCATATATTTATTGTTATATTATTATTATTTTATTTTATTGATTTTTTTTCTTGTATAAATTATTGATTTAATAAATACAAATAAAATGTAACAAACAACACTGAATAAAACCTTAACACAATCTTTAAAACTAAATGTACATAATAATATAACTTACCTAATAATAACCACAGAAATGATGCTTTATTATTGTAAGGATTACATTGGTTAAATAATAATGTAAATATTAATATGTAATGTATGTTATTTATTATTTGCAATGTAAAAAGCAAGTACAATAAAGAATAAAATAAATATAATGATTTTTTAAATAAGAAATCGTTTAGTTACATATTAATAATGCTAAAATATAATTTTAATATTAGTTTTTTTCATTATCATCAGAGTAAGCAACTGCTTAGTTACATAATACATATTAATAATGTGCCAAATATATTATTTATTGTTAAAATAATGTAAATAATAGATACACCATTTGTGTTTATTAGTTAATGTATAATATAAATGATTGAAAAGTCGTATTTATTATGCAATTATGTTAAAAAATATAGAATATTTAGTAATAATAATAATACTAATAATAGTTGTATTTATTCTTGGTGGTGGTGAAATAGTTTAAATAATAATTAATAAATAATAATAATAAATAATAATGTGTAATATACATTATATTTATTTTTACGTAATGCAAATAATAAAAAAGTACAATAATTAAAACCAAATATAATATTTATAATTAATCATAATACTTTATCATTATCTTGCATCATAATACGTCATATGTATTTTTATATATTAAATGTAACATTGTATTGAGATTTATTGGTTAATGTATAATATACGCACGAAACAATAATATTATTTTAAACAATCATATTTAAATAGACGCATCATTAAAAGATAGTCATTTTTGTAATTATAACCATTGAAATATTAATGATGAACATGTAATATACTTGAGCATCATGGTGGCGCAGTGGTTAGCATGATGGCAAGGTCGCTGGTTGGTGGAGTTCTCCCCATGTTCACGTGGGTTTTCTCCGGGTGGTCCGGTTTCCCCCAAAGTACAAAGACATGGTGAATTGAATAAGCTAAATTGGCCAAAGTGTATGAGTGTGAATAAGAGTGTGTGTGGTTCCGACTGTTAGGTTACGGCTGGAAGGGCATATGCTGCGTAAAACCTATGCTTGATAAGTTGGCGGTTCAGCATTTATAAGTACATTATCCCTTATTTAACTAATGAAACCTTATTGTAAAGTGTGACCACAATTTTTATTTTTAGGTGTACAGAACATCTTTTCATTTATTCCTCGAACATTTGCCAATTTTTTTTGCATTATATACTTAATTCCATTTTTAAGTTGGCGGTTCATTCTGCTGTGGTGACTGCCGATTAATAAAGGGACTAAGCTGAAAAGAAAGTGAATGAATGAATGGAATATTCTTAATATTTGCTAGTTTAAAAGATACAATTACAACAATTATAATCACCAATTTTTTATTATTATTAAACCTCATCATTATTATTATTTATTTATTTTTGCAGGGTCGTCTTCTGTACTCTCATGATTATGTATTCTGGTGTGGAGACTTCAACTACCGAATCAATATTCCCAATGAAGAGGTGAAGGAGCTGATCAGACAGCAGAACTGGGATGCACTTATTGGTGGAGATCAACTGGTGGAGCAGAAGAATGCAGGACAGGTACCGTATATCAAACCATATAAATATTGTATATCAAAAATGCAGCAATATCGCTGGAAGTAGTGTTTTTATTTCCCCTCGCTATCCTAAATAACTTCTCTATTGTACTCCAGGTCTTCAGAGGCTTTATTGAAGGAAAGCTGGATTTTGCGCCCACTTATAAATACGACCTTTTTTCTGAGGATTACGACACTAGTGAGAAGTGCCGCACACCGGCCTGGACCGACCGTGTGCTGTGGAAAAGAAGAAAGTGGAACTTTGATAAAACTGGTAAGTATTATATTCATTTCCAACCAAATTTCAAATGCTTCTGAAAACAAGAGTTCAGTTAATAAATGATTTGAAAAAGTACAGTATAACGCATGAGGGTATCTGGACACAGAGGGCCTGTAAACAGAAATTTGCAAAGCTTGCCCCGCCTCTGAGCTCTTTTGATTGGTCCACTGCTGTGGAACTGACAGTGATGAACTGTGCTGCTTGTAAAAAGTTGAAGTTCTTTTAACTTGACACTACATCTAAAAAAGGCAGGGCTCACGTGTGCAGAGCTTCACAAGATGCAAGCGTAATGGTCAAACCTATCTGTCAAGCATGTTTACATTGAATCACTATAGGAAAGAATTGCTTGGATCGCATTTTGTGTGACCAACTCCCAAATGGTCTTACACTGATAGGGCTTTTTTTTTTTTTTTTACAATTCAGTTTTTTTATTTTCCTAAATTCAGTTTTGTTTTTTTGTTCACCCTCCCCTTCCTGAATACTGCTGAATACTGAACTGCTTAGACAACCACCTAAAGGGAAAGTTCTCCTATGAAAAACTGGAACTTTTCATTTATGGGTAAACTATCCCTATAGTATTAAAATAATTAATTTTAGAAGTAGTAAATTATTACAGCTCGGCTCAGAGTTTTGTGGCTAACAGTATTTTTTTTTTTTTTGGCTAAGCAGTGTAATAAGATGGATAATGTCGAATCAGCAGTTATATATGTACATTATCCCTTATTTAGCTAATGAAACCTTATTGTAAAGTGTGACCACAAATTTTAGGTGTACAGAACATCTTTTCATTTATTCCTCGAACATTTTTTTTGCCAATTTTTTTTTTGCATTATACACTTAATTCAATTTTTATACCCTACACTGAAGAATAAATGGTCACTTATTGTGTGCGTGCGTGTGCGTGTGTGTGTGTTACAGCGGAGGAGTTGGAGTTGAATGTAGTAGGAGCTCCAGTGAATGAGGAAGAACAGTATCCATGGAGCCCTGGAGACCTCAAGTATTACGGCAGAGCTGAGCTGAAAACCTCTGATCACAGGTGAGAGACTGAAGCCACAACTTTCATGTTTACTGTGGAAAGCTGCTTTAACATCTAAGCTATAAACAATACTAGTATGTATTTGCATGATAATATATTATTTCTTTAGATCAGGTCTCCAACACATCGTTCCCCAACATGATTGAAATATCATATCACCACTAATCATCGGGCCATTTAGTTATTTTTAGACTACACCATTCCCTAATAACACGAGGCAGCGCTTTGACACACAAAAAATAATATTTTTTTAATTAAAAGAGTATTTGTCCTAACCCCCAACTATGGCAACACGCAAAGATCCTATTTAAGAAATAGTTGCAATTTCTGCACTGTTGCTTTTATATATATATATATATATATATATATATATATATATATATATATATATATATATACTGTATAATCTTATTGCATGCTTATCTTTGCATATGTTAATGCAGACTACAAAGAATGTATTTTAGAATAGTTTAGAATGTATTTTAGAATAGAATAGAATAACCTTTGTACAGTCTACAGTCACATTTTGCTTCCTCGTTCTTTTCTGTAGGATTTTCTATATTTAGCCTACATTGGAACAAATAAACATACACCTTTGCTAATGTGATATTGTCAAGACTACTACATAACTGAAAACCTGACAACCCAAGCTTGAAAAAGTTCACAACTACAGTTCTATATAATCAGTTTGAACGATTCAGTGACCAAGACATGTGGCTCTCTGCCACTTCAGGTTTTTAAAAAGTAGCTCGCTGAAGAAATAAGTTCAGGGAAGCCTTTAGATACTAGTGTTTAGTTAACCCAAAACTTTAAACTACCTCATCAGATCAGATTGCTGGCAACTATAAACTTCCATAGTATTGAAATGAAATATTATACTGGAAGTCAATGGGTACGAGCTACTACCGTTTTTCAAAATATCCTTTTTTTGTGTTCAAAAAAGGAAAGAAAGTCATTTTTAGGTAAAATTATTAAAAATGGAGGATGAGTAAATTATGGTAGGATTTAAATTTTTGGGTGAACTATCCCTTTATTCTAGTAGTAATAGCATAATTATTAATCGTTAATCAAATGAATACTAGTATATAATGAATAAGTATTAGTATCTAACAAATAAGTACTGATATCTAACGAATACTTTTTAGTGTGTTAAAAATGTACTAGTAAGTATATAATAAGTACTAATATAATTAATAAATATTAGTATTTAATTAATAAGTACTAGTATATTGTGAATAATTAGCAGTGTCTATTTAGTAAGTACTATTATCTAATAAGCAGAGGTATAAAGAGTACCTGAAAACCATACTTGAGTAAAAGTACAGATACTTTACTGAAAACATTACTCCATTACAAGTTACAAGTCACTAATTCCAAAAAGACTTGAGTAAAAGTAGTAAAGTATCCGATTATAAAAGGACTTTAGTACTTTACTCATACAAAATGTATGCTCGAACATCAATATTTTTATTTTAAGTAGTTTCTCAATAGATTATTGATTGATTATTGTTTTCTGTGTATTAAAGTTAAACAAAGAGGATCAGTGTTATTTTTCAACTTAGTAAACTACATATAAATTCAATAAAAATATGTCACAAACTCACAGCTGAATGGACCTGATGCCAAATGTAAAATTTCAGTGATACATTTATTTACGTTGCACACAAAAAATTAAGCTAAAATATAGTCATGTCATGTCGCAGTGGTTTTTGCCATATTAGTAACTGCATTAACTTTTGATAACATTATGCTTACAATACCATTGTAAAGTCAGATATAATTTGACTAAATTCACATTAAATAGACTCTTACCCAAATGTGTTTTCTCAAATTTGCAGATAAATCTTAAAAAGCACTTATTTTCTTGGTTCGTGGCAAACAAAGTAGACACTGCATGCTGTAAGAGCCATTCTGTATATCTGCAAATAAAAACATTTCTTTCAGTTAAGGCCACGGATGGTCATCAGTGCTAGCACTGCTTGATGTGCCGGCTTCGGCTTCATCACTGGCTGCAGCCATGTCGCTAATTAAACACCTGGCATTAGGCAAGCTGCTAATTCATGTTCACGTGATTTAGCTCATAAATAGCATACACTACCTTTAGCACCCTGCAGATGGCGATATTGCCTCGTCCGCCCAACAAATTAGCCATGGTAGATAAAGATGTCAACTTGTCGCGCACAATCACAATGTAATGAATAATGGTAAGGGTCCGTTCAAATGTAGTGGAGTAAAGAGTACATATATTCAATCAAAAATGTAGACAAGTAGAGAGTAAAAGTTGCTTAAATTTTTAATAATCAGTACAAGTACAAAGTAGCCAAAAGCATACTTATGTAAAATAACGAAGTCCATTTACTTGAGTACTTTACAGCACTGCTAATAAGTAAATGATAGTCTCTAATAAAAAATCATTTTCCTTTTGCAAAATATACTAGTATCTAAAAACGAAGTATTGATTATAGTTAGTGCCTTCCAGTGGACCTTAGAGGTACTGCAGGAGTCTGTCAACCGCATTGCTGACCATAATAAAAGCTTGTATGTTTTGTTCGTGTGCGCCTCATTTACTTTAGGATTAGGAACTGCTGTTGTAGTGGCATTAACATTGATCTCTTACAGACCTGTGGTGGCCATCATAGATGTGGACATACTTGAGGTGGATCCCGAGGCTCGTCATCAGGTGTATAAGGAAGTGATCGCCCTGCAGGGTCCTCCCGACGGCACCATCCTAGTCTCTCTCTGCTCTTCTGGTCCCGATGACTACTTTGATGATGCTTTAATTGACGATCTTTTGGACAAGTTTGCTAATTTTGGCGAGGTTATTCTTATCAGGTATGAGATATTTTGTTTATATAATATTATTATATTGCATGTCTATATAGCCAAGTTAAGTCCAACATGAATATGATCAAAGTGAATTGCAATTCAATTTTTTACCATACATTAGAATGCAGAATTAATGAGCATTTGAAATCATTCTTATATGTTGATTTGCAGCTTTAAAATAATCTATTATTATTATTATTATTATTATTATTATTATTATTATTATTATGAAAACAGCCGAGTAGCTTTTTTTATGAATAAGAAATGTAGAATTGCATTTTTCTGAAATATAATTAGAGTCTTTTGTAACATTATAGATATTTTTATTGTCATGTTTGATCATATTAAAGCATCCTTGCTAAAAAGAAAAAAAGAAGAAAAAAAAAGTGAGAATCTGTATAATTTCTTTACCAGAAACTAAAGATACTGACTTTTGAATCGGTATAGTGCATCAAAAAAATCCTGGAAAAATTACTATAAATAAATATTATTGTAAATAAAAATAATGATAATAATACAATGTTTGAATGATAAATCAGCATATTAGGGTGATCTGCTTGAGGTCCTTTGCCAATCCTTCCCCTCTCTCTGCTCCCAATGATTTCCTGTCAATTCCCTGTACTATTCTATCCATTAAATGGTTAAAAACCCATATATATTTTTTTAAAACTTGTATATTAAACTATATATATTAAAATAGAAAACAGATTATTTTAAATAGTACTTTGGATCAAGTGAATAAAAGTAAAAGAGGCATAACAAATATTTAAAAAATCTTATTTATCTAAAACAGTTTGTGTACTTTACATAATTTAAAATATAATAACATTGCTTATGATCTTTTTTCTCTACATTTTAATCTAATAAAATCATAATAAAAAGATGACCAAACATGATTCCATTCATTTATTTGTAACTTTTTAACAAAAGTTGAATTTGATACACTGAAACAGAAACAGTAGTACATTTTTAAACAAAAGTCTATTTTAATTTGATGCAGAAAATTAAGTGGACGTCTCATCCTTGACCCTTACATAAGGCTTACTTACAGTATGTTATCTGAACCGTGCCCTGCAGTGTTTCCCGGTTTGTTTGACAAGTGTGGACTGTTTCATATGTATTCAAGCATTCTTACTTTTCAATGAACACCAATTGTCGTAGTTTGTTAAAGACGCAAACCCCTCGCTGCACCTTCAGCAAACCTCCTAATACGTGCAGCAGGTTGTGGATCTGTTCAGCTGACTGTTTGACTGTGTGTCACTGCATCCTAAATGACTAAAAATAATGCAAAACAATATAACTAAAGCAGTCTCCAATGCACTAAGCGAGAGCACTTCTCTTCCTGTTAAACTGAACTGTCGCATCATCAATTACTTAACCATGCTCAGGTTTGGAAGGTAAAAATGCAATGTGAGCGCAGGCCGTAAGGAAGAGGGGAGGGGGCAAAACCACATTTTTGGCTGGTTTCCACTGACTGGTACGGTACGGGTCACCTTTACCAGACTTGTGTTTCCACTGCTAAAAGGATACCAATGGTACTCTTTTGGTAAACGACAGAAAGTTTCAGTCAACATCATTTTTGCTTGAGAAATAGTCTACAGTAAAGCTGTACGGGTCGCTTACATATCATTTGAGAAGCACTTCTCACAAAACAGATGCTTAATACACATAAATAATTCTGTATAAATGTTCATTACTAACTTTTCTTTGAACATGAGTTGATTATAACTGCAGATCAATGAATGAGAGAATAATTCCTTCATTCCGAGTTCATAATAGTCCAAAAGGTGATGATGATAATAATAGTCAAACATGGCAGTTTGTTCACGTTTCATGCTAGAATTTTTTTCTAGCTTTTCCTTAGTTTTTCGCGTGTCACTCTCGCGTGTGTTTGTTTCTGACAGAATCGGGTTTCACGTCAATAATCAAATGCACGTTATTATCATGAGCTCAAGAAGTTTGTTATTTCAAATATAGACGCGAGCGCAAGCACGAAAGCGAAACTGCTCGCTCTTCAGACTGGCTTGTTAAAAACTACGGGGCACAAGGTAAATCTGCTCTTCTTCTTGGCTTTGTGGCTGTTCATCAAGACGATGACAAGGTTTGTTTGAGCCCGGGTCAACCATGTCTCGTTATTATATGTATATACAGGGCTTTACATTAACACCTGCCAACCCACCAAATGCTGGTAGATTTTAGCTTTGGCGGGTTAGACAACAGCTCCCACTAGCCACTTTGGCAGGTTGGAAATAATGTTTGCATTGTAGTTTTCTTAAAGCAGGGTTAGACAATAAGGATCTTGGAATCAAGAAGCAGCACGACTGAAAACCATAACTGTGTTCGTGCGAGAAAAAGCAGGTGAATACCGGATGAGAGGAAGATTACTCTGTGATGCACAGGTGATGTAATGTGCGCGACTGTTAAAAAGCGTGCGCGCTCCCGTTTACTTGCGCTTTTTTCCGTTCACTTGCGATCGGTTCTCTTTGAAAGACTAGACAAAAAACGATGCTCGTGTACCCACAGACCTGCTGCTTTGAAGAACTCAAGATTGAAAAATGTATATATTTGTAAGCAACAGCAGCAGTCACTGCTTTCTTTTTAATTATTCGCGGGCAGGTGATCATCCTTTCATTATCACACATGGTATGTTTTTACCTGCTTTCTTTTGCTTACAGTTATTTTTGTTAATATAGTTTAATTATCATCCTTTACAATAACATTGCTTTAATAGGAGATTAACTCCCCGTTTATATGTAGTAACTGCTGATCTGGGACCTTTAGAAAATAAAAGAAACGTTTTGTTGAATATAAACTGCATTATTCTGCTTTATTCTGAGCCCTAAAAAGTCATGTGAAATAAAAACCAATTGCAATGCGACACAACCCATTTGCTCATGCACAGTGAGCAAGCTAATACACAATACACACAAAAAGTGAAATGAATGAGGAGGCATGTGGACAACACAACATCTAAATCAAGTCATTTTAGCATGTTAAAGTCACATTTATTTATATAAAATATATTTTCCAAACAACAAAATTGTGGCTAGTGAAAATGGCAAGTGGCTAGTAATGTTGGAAATCTACTAGCCACAGTGGCTGATGATCAAAAAAGTTAATGTAAAGCCCTGTGTATATATAATTACGCTGTAATCTCTCGGCTGTGTATTTAAAACATGTCGGTCTCTTTGTTTTCATTCTGGCTTGTTGCGTGAACGAGTGACGTATCTCTGTAAACTAATAGCATTCAGCTGTACGTCTAGCTCTGCCTTGCCGAAAAAGTGGTACGGTACGTTCGGTTCGGTATGCCTTTTGACAGTGGAAATGGCCATAAAAGTGTACAAAACCGAACCGTACCACAGTTCAACCATGCCTAGTGAGAGTACACCCATACACATTCATTAAAAAAAATTCTTTAAAAATAAATGTAATAGTTTAATAATAATAAAATAATCTTTTTATTTCCTGCTGAACAGGTTTGTTGAAGAGAAAATGTGGGTGACATTTTTGGAGGGATACTCAGCTCTGGCCGCTCTGTCTTTGAGTGGGTCTACTGTAAGAGACATCCATACGATACATCTGACACATTTCCAAAAATCGCACTGTATCATAAAACTGACTTCTAATGTGCCTCTCAGGTGAATGGAAAGACCATAGACATCCGCCTGAGGAGTCCTGGATGGATAAAGAGTCTTGAGGAGGAAATGAGTGTGGAGAGAATCTGTGGTAGTATTCCAACATCCACCAGCTCCACCCTGCTGGCAGAAAACTCTGACCTAGGAGAAGAGTATGACATGGAAGGTATAGTATGGGCTCTGCAGTACTGAAATGCAAAATAAAGATGTATATGGAGTTACTTAGATTGCGGATATGTCTTTGACAGGTGATGTGGACGAGGAGGTTGAGGATATTTTACCCCAGCACCTGCAGCCTGGAGCAGGCATGGATCTGAGTGCGTCTCCTGCCACATCTCCACGCACCAGCCCATGCCCTTCACCCACTCACGGAGAGCCAGCACCACCCATCCGACCCAGCAGAGCGCCACCACGCACAGCCGGACCACCACAGGGTAGTGTAGTATTTGTATTTGACTCAACATGGGTGAACACTTATGTGAATTTCTGTCTGTCTGTCTGTCTAGTTTTTAGTTAGTCTATCTATCCACCTATTCATCAATCCATTCGTCTTTCCTTTCATCTGTCTATCCATCTGTCTGTCTGTCCAGTTTTTAGTTACTCCATCAATCCGCCCATTCACCTGTCCGACTGTTTGTCTGTCCAGTTTTAAGTTTATCCATCCACCTGTCTGTCTGTCCATCCACGTCCTCCATGTCTATTCATGTCTTACTCCATCCATCCATGTCTATCAATCTACCTATCTGTCTCTGTCTGTCCAGTTTTTAGTTACTCCATCCATCCGCCCATCTATCAATCCATCCTTCTATCTGTCTATCATTCATCTGTCTGTCCATCCATCTTTTAGTCCATCCATCCACTTGTCTATCTTTTTGTCTGTCCAGTTATTAGTTACTCTATCCATCTGCCTGTCTATCCATCATCCGTCTATCTCTCCGTCTGTTTATCTGTCTGTCTAGTTTTTAGTTAGTCCATCAGTCTGTCTGTGTATCTATCTGTCTATTCATCTGTCCGTCCGTCTGTCAATCTAGCTATCTTTCTGTCCAGTGTTTAGTTACTCCATCCATCCATCAATCTACCCATCTATCTGTCTGTCTTTCTGTCCAGATTTTAGTTACTCCATCCATCAATCTACCATCTATCTGTCTGTCTTTGTCTGTCTGTCCAGTTTTTTAGTTACTCTATCCATCCATCAATCCACCCATCTATTTGTCTGTCTCTGTCTGCCTGTCCAGTTTTTAGTCAGTCCATCCATCCGTCAATCCATCTGTTCGTATGTCTGTCTGTCAATCTTTATGTCTGTCTGTCCAGTTTTTAGTTACTCCATCAATTTATCTATCTATCAGTCTACCTATCGGTCTCTGCCTGTCTGTCCAGTTTTTAGTTACTCCATCCGTCTGTCCATCCATCATGTCCAGTTATTAGTTACTCTCTGTCTGTCTGTCCATTTTTTATGTACTCCGTCCATCCGTCTGTCTATCCGTTTGTATGTCTGTCTGTCCAGTTTATAGTCTTGTCTGTCTATCTATCTATCTATCTATCTATCTATCTATCTATCTATCTATATCAGTACATTGTTTTTCCTTTGTTTTTACATTGCAAAAAGGAGGATTAAGCCCAGCATCCATTAGAAGGGAACTGGCAGGTAAAGAGTGCTGTTTGCTGATGTGCCTCAGTAGTTCCCGATCTCTCAGAGTGTGTTTGTATGTCTGTGCGTCCCCAGGCTTCAGTGTGGTTTGCAGTGCTGTGGAGCTGAACTAAACAAGTCCCTCAGACATTTGTTTTGACGCTTGTGAGAATCTGACGTTTCTCTCTCTCTTGTTCTCTATGCACAGGTTCTCCAGTTGATGGTCAGCCAGCAGGAGCTCCATTCTCACAGGGACTAGAGCCAAAACGTCCCCCTCCGCCTCGCCCTAATGCCCCGCCAGCCCGACCTGCACCTCCACAGCGCCCACCACCACCCTCAGGTACAGGCACGATGTTTGGTCTTAAGAGAAGCGTTAAGATTCAGTCAAGAAGTTTATTCTGGGACTAAAACAGCATTCAAATGAGTGCACAACATTTAATGCTATGGGCCAGATTTACTGAACAGGTTAAATTGGCATCCAAGCGCAATTTCATAAAAGCCCCCTCAGAGGTGCAAGTTCTGCATGTGTTTCTACTGACAAAATGCATCAAAGAAGCTCATTTTCATGTTCGTCAATGCAATATACCAAGACCAGTGCAAGTCAGCAATCAAGTGTGTGTAGCCTGCAAACAACACAGGAGTAAATTAGTTAAGGAATGACAAAAATGGTGTTAAAGTTTACAAACACAAATCTTGGTAAATCATGGTGCATGATATGGCTGTCCAAATAAAATTTAATCTTGAATATTTTTTAAATTGTATTTTATTTAAGAACAGTTGTTTGATAGATTATGCACTTTAAATAGTGTCGTTTCAATAATGACCTTGCGCCCTCTTGTGGTCATAGCAGACAATGGACCCTTTTCACATGCTTGTTATGACGCATTTAAAGATCATCATAACCTTAAATCCTTTAAAGTTTTTAATATTTTATTTGTTTAAAAACATATGAACATCTATATGCGTTTATGTATGTATTATATCATCTTTGCGTCTAATTACAAAAAACGAATTAACAATTATGTGAGGTGTTTCTAATGCAGCGTTTATGGGACTGAACAGTAAATTTATCGTTATTCTCTCCTCTGGCTGCCGTCCTCAGTCTCACACTATTTTCCTCTTTTTCTGAAAGTCTTGATAACATCATCGTGGAGTTTTTCTGTTATTATTTCAGCAAATTGGATTGTAAAAAAAATATTTGTTGCATTCTCCCATTCACTGCGCTCTAAGTTTACCCAGCTATAGCGATTTCCGCTACTGAGAAACACGGAAATGTGAAAAGGGTCTATTCACTATTTTAACTGTAACATTAAAGGCATAGTTCACCCAAAAATGAAATTCTTTCATCATTTACTCACTGTTTACTTTGAAGATATTTTGAAGAAAGCTGAAAAGCTGTAACCATTGACTTCCATATCTGTTTGTCCTACTATGAAAGTCAATGGTTACAGGTTTACTGCTTTATTCAAAATATCTTCTTAAGTGTTCAAGAGAAGAAAGAAACTTATAAAGGTTTAGAAACACTTAAAGGTAAATAATTAATAGAATTTTCATTTTTGGCTGAACTATCCCTTTAAATATTGCCTTCAGAATTAAAAATTTAGCCATGTTGACGGCCCAAGTGCATGAATCATTTTAAAAAAAAATTCTTTCCTTCCACAAATCTGTTATGGAAACCCCTACAAATGCATTTGCAATATGGTCAGACCCTTTTTATTTCTAATGCTTTTATTGAAGACATTATGTCTGTAGGGTTTAAACTGGCACAGGCTGTTAGTAAATCTGGCTCTTTGTTTTCAGTTGTTTTGTTTTTGTGATTTTAATTTGCATTTCATCTTTCATTTTACAATATCCTGCTATTCTAAAGGTGGCAGAAGTCCCACACCTGTTAGAAAAGATTCAGCAGGTAATGCTGTGCTTGAACATGAGCATTGTGTAGTAGCAGCTGAATATTGCCTCAGTATTGCTGTTTATTGACTTGTTTGTGAATTGCTTCATTACACCTGATGTAGGGCTGGGCGACATTTCTGCTTTCATCAAATGATTTCTAATAAATGTTTTGCTTAATTTCAGTTATTATTATTAAGCATTAAGTCACAGTTCAGAATAATATTACAATTATAGTTACAAAGTTATTTAACAGACCATTTTTGTACCAAGCGGGTTTTCATCTTGTTATTTTTTTGCCACAATTTTTTTTTCTAGTTTTTTTCCGCATTGAAATACAGCCTTATGCAATCATAGAAACTTCTTTACAACCAAAACATTGCTACATTTACTAAATATACAAGTTACTAAATATACAAGTTGTTGATATATAAAAAAACAAAACAAAAGCAAAAAATAATGCTCCTCGTTTTTCGGTTAATGGTCATCTATTCAAAAGTGACTTTTATCATACTGAATACAAAGTACTACAAACATGTTTTGAAGAGTTGATCAATACAGAACTACAAGATGGGAACTGCATTGGTTTACAAGTTTTAAATCAATACAATGTTTTTCAAAAGTAAAGTTGACTACTTTAATTTAAAACCAAAAAAATAAGGCAAGGCCAACTCATTTATATAGCACATTTCATACACAATGGTAATTCAAAGTGCTTTACATAAACAAGAATAAAAATAGAAACAACAAAGAATAAGAATTATTAAAAACATATTAAATGTGTTAAAACAGGTTTTACATTAATAAAAAAGACAAGAAAGACATAATATTGCGATCTTTTGGACGTAGCACAGTGCTCATTCAGTAAAGGCACAGCTAAACAGATGTGTTTTCAGTCTTGATTTAAATGTGCCTAATGTTGGAGCACATCTGATTATTTCTGGAAGCTGATTCCAGCAGCGGAGGGTGTAGTAGCTGAAAGTCGTTTCACCCTGCTTTAACTGAACTCTTGGAATTTACTTGATCCTAATGATCTAGGTGATCTGCTAGGTTTGTATTAAAATAAGTGCAACAGTCTGAATTATTATTATTATTATTATTTATTTATTTATTTGTTTTTTTTTTGTTTTTTTGGCATCTCGCCCAGCCCTATCCTGATGTTAGGTTGCTTTAGATGAGGATGTGTAAAGTGTCTGGCTTACTTTTTCTCAATTAATGCACGATGTTGCAGTTCTGTGCTTTTTTAGTAGTGTTTCTTCATGCTTTTCATGAGCCTAATCATCAGTGTCTTCTTGTGGTTTCTATAAAATCAAGTATTGTAAATGTTTTTGCAGCTGTGTGTGATTTGTTTTGTGCTTTGGAAACATTATGAATGTGTTCTTTCAAAGGCTTCGCTGAGCCTCTCAATCTAGAGTTTGATCTGACTGATAATGAAGGTAATATCTGGTTGAGAGAAAAAAATAGATTCTAGTATGTCTTTGCTGTGATTGGTTTTTGTGTATGTTTGTCTTCCGGTCAGTTGAGTCCTCCTGCACTTGCTAACAGAATTAGACTCATTATTCATAACTAATGATTCAAATCAACAGCTTTGTCACGATGCAGTGCATGAAGTCTCAATTGTTGCAGTTATTTTGATTTAGTTTTGGAGTGTGAAGTGGAACTAGCTGAATTAGTGTTGGTAAATGAATAGAGAATGGCAGAAATGGATTTTCCATCAGGTAAGGAGTGGGTTTGATCAAATATATTTTCTCCGGGAAAAAAAAGGCTTTAATAATTTGCAGAATTACAGGTAATTTAAAAAAAGATTTTGATTTTTTTCTTTTCTTCATGCTAACAAAAGGACAAAAAAGCCCTGCGTTAGCACGAGCAGATGCAGCTGGTGAGTTTCTACACTAAGTAACACCATTGCTCAGTTACAGATGGTTGGACAAACATATTTGGGCCAATAAATTGTAACCCCACGCGAGTTTTAGCTCAGATTATTAGGCGAGAAAAGTTATGCCAAGTTCAAACTGCATTATTTTAGCCGTGATTTTTACTTACCGACAGGTTTGGAGAAATCGGCAGACTAATCGGCTAATCGTAACAGTCACACATTTTGAACAATCAAGGACGCAATATTAGAGAATTGCAGATGAGTTTGGCATGCTAAATATCTGGAGCTGTCAGCGATTCAAATCATGTTGTGTGAAATATGTTCTGATTGAAAATAACATTGGCGATTACCTACAGCCAATGAGAGAGCAGCGTCCACTAGTATGGGTATCTGCAGGCTAGAGGGAGGTTGAGGGAGAAGTTAAAAGCGCTCATTTTCAGTTTTCATTGTCGATGCTCTCCTCCATCGCCGATGGCCAGAAGACAACACTTGTAAAACTGTGTTTTACCTAGCATTTCTGAACAGCCCTCCGTTCGCTGAAAAAGCACATCATGTGGCCACACACACACACAAACACACAGCAACACACACTGTCATGTGCTCGTCTGACCTCCAGAGAGCAGTGCACGTCGGATAGTTTATCAAGGATCGCGTCTCACTATAGTTGTTAAAGTGATATTTAATTAATCTTGTCTCTATATAACGACTCTTCTGTCTTTTAAATCTATCAGGTAACGTGTCACAGCATCAGTACACTGCTTCAATCTTTCACTTTCACACTTGTACTTAGTAATTTTAGTGAAAACCTCAGATACTGTTGGTTGGGCACCTTTTTTTACGGACCAACCTGTGATTGACAGGTGGTAATTTGTGTGCAACTTATCTTTATTTATTTATGATTTGTTTATGGTTAAAGACCATGGGGGTCAGTTAGTTGAAACGGTAGGCTACAAATTATTAATTTGTTATGAATTAATTTATTATTCATAAATTATTAATTCACCTCCGCCTATGACAACGATGTCATCGCGATGTTTCACATTAGACATCGTACGATGCCAGATTGGACGACATCTCCCAACACTAGTAAACAACATTACTACATTTTCTAAAGCTAAAGCCATCCTTTTCCATTATGTAGTTAAAAAAAAAGTCCTGCAGTGTAAAATCTTCTGTCGCCGATCCATCATACAGTGTAAACAAAACACAGACAGAACGTCAGCCCAGATAGACAGTATGAAAACATCCGTGACATGACTACTTTAAAAATCGTGCAGTCTGAACTCGGCATATTTTGTCACTCCTCACAAAAGCACTAATCTGACATTTTCAGGCTTCCTTTCATTGTCTGTTTAAATCAGGGTGTAAAAAAGTTTTAAATTCTTAAAGTATGATAGTAAGGCCTTAATTAGTCTTAAAATGTCTCAAATCTGCGTTTTAATGATCTTAAAAATGCAATCGAACCGACCCGGTAAGGAAGATTCTCTTTCCATTTTGAAACCTACTTTAATCTATTCGTCTATCATCACTAAGAACAACAAAGGTGGAACCAAATCTATTTATAGTCATTGGCAGAGCCCAACATGTACATTAACAAATGAAGAACTAGAGATGCACCAATCGACCAGCCAAGGACCGGAATCTGCTGAAATGTATCTATAAAACAATAATAAAAAGCACATATAAATTATGGTTATATTTATTTTAAAAATAGTTGACAGGTATCGATATTGGAAAATTCTGTTTTGTTAGTGTTGTTAATGCAGTTTGGTGGAATTGATGCAATGTTTTTTTTATTATTACTATTACTATCATTATTATTTTATTAATAATATTCATTATGTTTTGAGGTTTTTCACACTTTATATGTATAATTAACAGTGTAATGATGGTCGTTATTTATTTATTTATTTATTTATTTTTGTGCAAATTCTGTACTATAAAATTGCTCTTAAATATAACTTTTAGAAACCTGCACATACCCCAATATTGTGTTGTGGAAATTCTTCTGGCATTTTTCAGGTTTTTAAATTAGTATTTGATCATATTTTGATAATTGTAATGTTTGATTATGTTATCAACTGTTTTTCAGGTCGAGGTCAAGCCACCGGACCAGCTCCTGGAGGCATCCCAAGGCCGGTGGGTTTGATAAATGCGAGTAAATCAATTAGAATACTAAAAGAAGTATGTTAAAATGTAGTTTTTGGCTTTAGATCCCACCCCGAGCAGGAGTCATCAGCGTCACGCCTCAGGCCAGACCTCCTCCTCCTGCTCATCCCGGGGCCCCCAGACCCACAGCAGAGGTGCATCCTGGAGCCCCTCGACCCTCACCAGATAATCATCCCGGAGCTCCAAGACCCACTGCTGAACCCCAAAGCAAACCGTCTGAGCTGCCTCTGGGTATGTTAAACACTTCTGATTGGCTATTAACTTTTTACACATTTCTAAAAATGATTTATTTCTTTGTTATTGATAATGTTCTATTTTTACTCTATTAATGTATATGTATTTTTTATTAATTATAATATTTAAATCTCACCGTGCGTTCACGCTAAAAACAGCAAGAGCGTCAAAGTAGTCGGAAGTCATTCATTTTTAATGAGAGCCAGCGTTGAAAAATGTCAAGCAGAGGCCTGGCGCATGTTTGCTGGTGTGGGCGTAGAGGAGAGTTGAAATCAAGTCACCTTTATGTTAATGATTGATGACGCAGTTCGGCTCCGACCACAGTTGTTGCCAAAGGTTTGATTATTGCTGTCGCTGGATTTCCAATTATTTACAAAGTTTTCTTACAGGGGCATTACTGGCGAATTACTGATGTACATTGTTTTTTTTTCTCTTTAAAAAAAGTGTGAATCTCATTCTAACTATAACGACAATACAAACCTGTATTGCTGCTTCAGAATGTTTCAGACATGGACCCATACTGAATAAAACCACACCACACGCAACAACATTTTTACACTAGAAAGCATGTGTTTATGAAGGGTAGGGAATGTAAATGATTCGCTGTAACGGCCCCTTTTAAATACGCAATCAATGTAGCGAAGTTTGACGCTCTCGCCGGCGGAGCAGTAAAGCTAGACAATGTTGTTGACAGGGTGGCCAGAGCAAACTTTGATGCTCTTTCCATCTTCGGTGTGAACGCAGTCACAATGCATTCCGATTTTAAATACCATTGCCACATCCTCAGGCTGTTCAGACCCATAGAATAAGATTATAAGAAAAAATATAAATATAATATTTTTTTAATACGTAATATTTTTCAGGTAAAACCAATATGTTCTAGGATTTTGCATATTATTATGTACAGTATAATCACATTTATTTTCAACAATACAACAGAAATATCACTCTATTTTAAATGTAAAACTTTCGGATACAGTGAAAATGTGTTCATCAACTAAATAGATTTCCAAAAGTCTGTAAGATATGAAGTAAAGCTAAATATATATTAGAAGTTTTTAGATCCTAGCACATTAGAAAAATATTCCTGATACATTATGTACTCCAAAAGTGAAATGTGTCAAATTCACTAACAAATGGTTATATCTTTTTAAAATTATTTAATTTAAATTATTAAAACAATTGCACATTTCTTGTCAAGGTATTTCATTTCAAGGGTTAAAACTTGCGTACATCGAAATATATTTCATTTTTCATTTCCTCAGGTCCACCCCTGACACTGCCAGGTCCCGTAAGGCCTCAGATGACATCACCCATGCAGCCTCAGTCTGTGTCGCCCGTTCAGCCTCCAGTCCAACCCCAACTGCCCCCACCCATACAATCCCAGCTCCCTCCACCAATGCAGCCCACCTTACCTGCTCCTCTGATGCCTCAGCAGGCCCCTCAGACATCAGCCGGAGCCGGAGCCGCTGCCGCCCCTCAGCCTGGACTGGCATCTCCCAAACCTCCACCCCGCAGCCGTTCCTCTCATGCACTGCCACCTGAATCTGCTCCAGCTCCAACAACACAGGTTAGTGCTCTTTTTCTGCGTAAATCTGCATTAAAGTCAAGATCATAAGCCCTTACATTTTTAAAGGTGACATATTACTCCCCTTTTTACAAGATAAAATAAGTGTCCCCAGTGTGTATGTGAAGTCATGTTTTAAAATACGCCACAGATCATTTTTTATAGGTTATTGAAATGCGATTTATTTATTTATTTATTTATTTATTTATTTGTGACGTAAACATTAAATCTGAAATCGCTTGTTCTGAGAAACTGTTTATGATTTTTTTGGGATTATACAAATGTGTTAAAACCTTATAAAAGAATAGGTCCGCTTTAAAAAGGGATAGTTCACCCAAAATGTCAATTTTGTCATCATTTACTTATATGTTGCATGTTGTTTTTGAACTCAAATAAGGACTAAATGTATGCTGTGTGTAGTTTTACTGTAAGTGGTAACATAGTGGAGACAGTAAGGGGCTGTATGTGTTCATATATGTTGTTTTTGAACTCAAATAAGGACTAAATGTATACTGTGTGTAGTTTTACTGTAAGTGGTAACATAGTGGAGACAGTAGGGGGCTATATGTGTTCATATATGCTGCATTTATTTATTTTTTATATATAATTGCAGACCTTACAGTAGGCTATGCAGTAGGCTATGGCCCAATAACAATTCTATTTTTGTACCCCTACCCCTTCCCCTTGGCCCTTACACCCAAGGGTTAAGGGAAAGGACTTCACAATTTACCCCTAAGAATTGGGACAGCACTACAGCACCTGCACACGTCATCATGTCATCGCCATCTCTTGCTTCAAATGAGATCAGACGATCGCAATTGCTGTAGTGATTCCAGTTGTGGTTTTTTTGGTATTTATCTTCAGGAAATCACTGAAGGAATATATTATGTTATCATAACGATCTAATGTGGCAATAAGATCGTAATACTGTGCATTTAACACAGTGGCCATATTCATCAATGTAAACACACCAAAAACAACATTAACATTACAGCAGACACTGTAAAAAGCCCATTGACAGCCTCTCATCGAGAGTGTCAGAATGTTGTGGGACTGCAGCACAGAAGTTTTTAGGGATTATAGATCGCGGAATTTAGCGTTTTTTTTTTTTTTAAAGCATGATGGTAAAACATGAATGCGGTTATAAATATATGAAAACATGTTTGTTTGTTGTAAAAATTCGTAATAATGACAAAAAATACTATTTTGTGGATCTCTTTACTTCCGGGTGCAGCTGTGGCGAGTGTATTCTGGGAATTTATTCTTTCCCTTCGGTTTCAAGTGTGGTCCTGAAAAATCTTTGTTTGAGAGGTGTATACCCCTTGCCCTACGCCTTCCAGCTAAAGAGAATTGGGACACCACTACCCCTTCACGGGCACGCGCAAAACGAGGGTGTAGGGGTAAGAGGGGGCTAAGGGGTAGAATTAGGATTGGGCCTGAGTCATTGATCTGCAGTTATATTCAAATTATGTTTACAGAAAAGTTAGTATTTATTATTTTATTTATGTGTATAAAGCATCTGTTTTGTGAGAAGTGCTTCTCATATGATATGTAAACGACCCGTACAGCTTTGCTTTGAGCGAGATTTCCTCATGCGAGAATAACGTCAACTAAAACTTTCTGTCGTACACCACGCCCACCTTTGGTACTCTTTAGGCAGTGGAAACGCAAGCCTGATATAGGTTACCCGTACCGACCCGTACCAGTCAGTGCAAATGGGGCATAATGTGGATGTCAGTGGAACATTCTTCAAAATATCTTGTTTCGTGTTCAACAGAAGACAGAAAAGTCTAGAAAGAAACACTTGAGTGTGAGTAAATGGTGAGAAATGTTTGGGTGAACTCTCTCTCTTCAAGTGTAACAAAGTCAGCTCTCATTTTAAGAAGCAGGTACTCACAAGATGCCATCCTGGGATCGTTGGCCAGCTTTAGTGGCCTCTATTCCTCTTTCTTTTATACTTTACTGGATAACGTGGACTGTCTCCAGGTAGTTCTCATAGTCATGTTTGGCTCTTCTTGATGCATGTGTGTCTCTCTCTTTCACTAGCAGGAGCAATCCTCAGGTTAACAGGTACTGGATTAAGTCATTTCTAGTCTTTACGTTGTCTTCACGGCACCATAGCCTGTAGTCACGATGTATGAGTTGCTCATACATATAGGATCCTACATGTTATAGTTGTTTTTTCCTCGTCCCATCTTTAATTTGACCTTTTTTCTTTGTTTATTTTAAATATCAGAAATTTTTACATGTAAAACTTAACTTGAACCCCTTGATATTTTCGTTGCTTGGAGAATATTGTGGTGGTTCTGACAGGGGGTTCAAGGAAAGTGTCATCCAGTATTTGTCATGGGTATTTGTTTTAAATTCTAGTATGTTATCATTGTTTTCAGTGTTTCTTGGCTGGGGGAAAGTCATTCGATCTGCAAAAATGCTTTACTTTGGTTCTCCGTACACTAATCATCTTTGTGTTTTTGATGTTTTATAGTTCTGTTTTCACTGTTTTTGAATTAACCGTTTAGTAAACAGGATTTTCAGTGATTTGATTTATATTAAGGTTTGTCATTGCACCATTTATGTTTTAACCAATTTGTCATTGTGATTTTATTTTTTCCTCAACTCGTGACATTATTGTTTCAAATTAAGTCAACATGAAATATTTTCAACTGCTTTTTTATTGGAAACAGGGTGACTAAATGTGCATTCAGCACATTCATTTACTATGCGCTGATTTGGTCAATTATCTAAATAGTTAAAATCTGCAGAAAATGTGTAATTATATTGCTACTTGAGGATTAAATGATTTAATGCTAATTGGTGTTATATGATTTAATTTTACAGTTTTAAAATCGGAAAATAATATAATCTAAATACAGTGGTCCCTCAGAGTTCATTCATTCATTCATTTTCTTGTCGGCTTAGTCCTTTTATTAATCTGGGGTCGCACAGTGAAATGAACGTCAACTTATCCAGCAAGTTTTTTACACAGCGAATGCCCTTCCAGCCGCAACCCATCTCTGGGAAACATTCACATACACTCATTCACAGACACACTCATACACTAAGGACAATTTAGCCTACCCAATAAACCTGTACCGCATGTCTTTTGACTGTGGGGGAAACCGGAGCACCTGGAGGAAAGCCACGCGAACATAGGGAGAACATGCAAACTCCACACAGAAACACCAACTGAGCCGAGGTTCGAATCTGCGACCCAGCTACTTTCTTGCTGTGAGGCGAACGTGCTACCCACTGCGCCACTGCGTCGCCTGCTCCCTCAGAGTTATGTTCTAAAAATAACCCGCAATAGGTGAAATCCGCGAAGTAGTCAGCTTTATTTTTACAATTATTATAGATGTTTGAAGGCTGTACAACCCCTCACTACACACTTTATACACTTTTCTCAGACAGGCATTTACATTTTCACACTTTTTTTTATCTTGTTTAAACGCTCTCAAAGTTCAAACTTACATAGAAAAATAAGTCCAGTCTCATAGAATGAAACTAAAGATCAAAACCTCTTGAGGCGCAAACATTCATCGCTGTCAGCAAAATGTTCTTTTTCTTTTACTTTTGTGCGGATAATGTTGGCATTTAGCGTAATGTTCTTTTTCCTGCAGTCACTGATCCACAAAGCGAGAGCAGACTTCGGACACTGAATGCACCACACACATGACAGTTGGAAGTAACACACACTGGACATGTAGATTCGCGTGTTATTTAAAATAAAATTAAACAGATGTCGCTCTGTGGCGCGTAGGCGTGGGATGATAACCGTTTTCAAGGTATACCGCGGTTTGGAAAAGTCAAGGTTTAAAAGCACCAAAGCTTTCAGCTATACCGTTTCTACGGTATATGTACAATTTTTTATTAAGACAACAGCATCTCTAGCAGAAAAGGTATCCAAAGATGCTGCTTTAAATTAAGAATTTTAGATACTAATGAAGACAGCAGACGCCAATGATTTATTTTAATGAATTAATCTGACATGTTTACTACTCCAAAATATTTTAAATGTTTCTCGAAATAAAATATATTGTGTTCAAAAGGGAAAAAGTAGTTGTTTTTTTACCCAGACAATTAAAACATATATTTTAGAGAGGTAATCACAATACCGTGAAACTGTGATCTTTTTTTATTTAAGGTGATTATACAATCAGAATCTTAGAAATATGAACAGTGTCTTGAGTCGTAGCTGCTGGGTACCGCAGACAGCCACCGACTTGTGGCACCAGTATGCCTACCCTAATAAAACCAGTTTTGATGGCCCTGCCTGGGGGTGAGCGACTCCCTTTATGATGATCTTTCTGCAAACAGTTACAACCCTTTTTGCATCCTTGTTGAAACTCACACTGCTAGCGATCAAAGATTTATGTTAATTTGGCAAGCTGAATGCATTCTTTACTGTACATGAGAAATGTAAGACAAATTGCACAAAAAAAATCTGCGAGGCTGCGAAAGGTGAACCACGTTATAGCGAGGGACCACTGGAATCGAAAATGACTCCAAAGATACAGTACTTACTGTCTATTTTACTGTTCCTGTTTAAATATCACTCAAACCAAAGGTTTGTCCAATATTTGAAGTGCTTATTAGGGTTAAATTAGCATTTTTTAAGTAAAAAAATAATAATTTTAGGTCAAACCATGATGCTTGGCAAGTCATAAAATGCAAGTCAATGGCTACCAGCCATTGGCTACTATGAAGAAAAAAAATTATACCTTTGTTTAGCTTCTTGCACCAATCATTTGATATCATAGGACCCCAATGTTTCATCAGAAGCCACAGGTGTTCATTTTGTTTTGGCTGTATTAGTTTTTTGACTCTCAAAGCACCAGTAGTCATTGACTTGTAATTTCTGAACAACCAAGGACCACAGTTTCAGCTAAAAAAAACTTCTTTAATCTTCTAATGATGAAAAGACGTCATCTGAAATGTTGTGAGGGTGAGAAAATCAATTTGAAAAAATGTAGTTGAACAATCCTTCTAAGGAAAATTCCAAACATCCAACTGATTGTTCCCAATATTTTTAATAAATTCAGATCTGACTTCATGTTGACTCCACTATTTATTTAGTGTTATAGCTTCTTGTCACCAGTATGATTTCATAATGTAGTCCATGTGTGTCTTCTTTTCCCAGGCCAAGAACATGAATGGAGTCCAAAGAGAAGCACAATGGAACCTAGACCCCTTCGACATGCTTAACCCTCAATCCCTCTTCCAGAACACACCATTCACCGCTTCCCTCTCTCGCTCCTCATCCTCCTCTACATCCACTCCATCCCCTTCTTCCTCATCCTCAACGTTACCCAGCAACCTTTCCCTGTTCTCAGCTCCGGACACCAGCAGCGCTTCGTGTCTCCTCGCTCCCCCCGCCCCATCCCGCAGCAAATCCCAAGAGACCCTCCGTTGCTCCCCTAATCCATTCCTCACAGACATCCAACCAAGACCCAACAGCACCAACCCCTTCACCAGCGGGCTGCAGTCCTCCCCGCGCCGATCGCTTACACCTGATTTCTACACCCAAATGCAAGCCTCTAAACCTGATTTCAATAGAGCTATGTCTGCTGTAGGCCACAGTTCCACCCTTCCTCCAACGTTCTCCCGACAACAGTCCTTAGTTACTGCTACAGCTCCAGCCCCCAACAAACAAACGCAAAAGTGGGTCACCTTTGATGATGATTTGGATTTCCTTTCAAAAAGGGTTGGGACCGGCCCATTAGCTTCACCTCTTCCTTTTCCACAAACCCAAAGCAGTTTCCCAAGCTCAGGCTTTGGCATGGACAACAACTGGGCATCGCTTCCCACCTCTGCATTCCCAGCAATCCCTCCGCCTGTACCAACCCGGACTAATACCAGCATCAAAAACGCCCAACTCCCTTCCAGAAATGATTTCACAGAGAGATGATATAGAATGGATGTTAAATATGAAGGAAATATTATTGCGTATATGTATGGTTTGTATAAAAGTGCAGATATAATGACCTGTTCGTACAAAAAAAAAGGTAATCTGGCTGTTTATTTTAGCCCAATGTGGGCAGGAAATCAAGACTAAATGCTCTTCAGATTTGAATATGTTGTCATTTGCAAACATATGCATTGCAGCATTTAGCATATTGCACAAGCTACATAATCATTTGTAAAAAATGTACAAATGTTAAATGATATATCTCATCACAACGTCGATGTAATCGTTTTAATCACCCTCATGTCGAAACACAAAAATGAGAACTGTACTCTTTATTTTGGACTTTCATTATACACTCAAATCCAGTTCTATAATATGTTCTTAAGAAGAAACAAATAGACATGAAATGAGGGTGATTAAATAATGATTATTCCTAATTTTATTCATCAAATATCCCTTTATTCTATAACCCAATACATCCCAAGAGAAACATGCTCTTATCATACGCACAGATTTAAAATGCCTGGCTGCGTCTGACCTGTTCTACACCATCATATCTGTTCAATGGGCTTCACGTGAGCTGTGGTACATGCATACATATTTTACTTTTGCCGTTAATCTCATTATGAATGTATTCACCTGTTTCTGTTGCCTACATTTAGGTTTAGAACGTGCGTCATGTGCAGCATTAACAGATGCTTTGCTGCAAACTCAAATCGAGGGTCTTAACTTCTCTCGGTGTTCATGCTATGCTAAAGACCCCGTGTCCCAGCCTCAGCACATCCTGTAGCTATATATCGTTGTCAGAATATATCTTCAACACATATTCATAGTGATTCTATGTCTTCCTAGTGAGGAAAAAAAATGTAAAGTGATTCTGGATTGTGTTTATATTTGCAGCATATACAGTACATGCCATATCTAAAGTGCACTGAAAAGCTCCGTCTGTCTTCTAGGCTGTATTTGTTTCGCGCGGCGGCTCCTCTAATTCATCGACACTGTATATACATGTCCTTTCAGTTTACCCAAAGCTCACCACAGAACTGCTGTATTTATCAAACGTGTTGTGCGCGTGATTGAATTGGTAAGTTCCTCCTTCAGGATGTCGGTCATGCTTTCTTTTGTGCAATGTGTACCTAATCGCTCAATGAAATTGTATTTTTTAAGTTGAACAGGTTGTTGATAATCTATTTATTGTCGTGTGTGGAGGAATACTGTGCTGTATTTTGGAGTGCGTCGTCTGTTTTTGTGTACTTTAGCTGTTTTGCGCGAATGCGCTTGCGTGTTTGGATGGTAATGTTGAGGGTTTCTGGTGTCTTTGTTACATGTCTGCTGACCCCAGTGTCATTATTGCATTACATCTTCGTTGTTTTAGCGATGCAGATTTATTATGGTATCAACTATGGTTCATTATTGACAGTAAGGTGGTCTGTTAAATTAATATTCCGTCATGTTTACTCACACTCATGCTGTCCCAAACTGGAACCAAATCTTCAAAACACAATTGAAATGGACATTTCTGTCCTTACATTGAAAGTCTTCTCATTCAGAACTCTTAAAGGGATCAAATCAACTAATAAATATTTATAATTTATAGCTATTTTCAAAGTGTTTTATGGGATGAAAAGATTTGATTAGTCTTTCATTCACATACAAACACAGATCAGCAAACCATGTTCAACAGCATTTCACTTTGGCATGCTTGCTTGACGCATGAGAACCAAGCAGGTTTGTTTTTGCTCGTCACATGGCAAGCTGAGCTTCTGTAAGAAACCAGTCAGTTTTATTCTAAAGTATCAGTGCTTGCATTTCTGTTTATGGTTGCAAATTAGTGTTTATATATGAATAAAAGCTTAAATGAAATCTGCCCAACCACATTTATGTATTTTTAGATCTCTTCATGAATAATTTAAAGTAAGTTTTGGATGAACTAACTTTTAATACAGGGTTAGAATTGCTTAGAAATGTCTTCATTTTGGTTCTGAAGATAAAAATTTTGGTTTGGATGTCATGAAGGTGAGTAACTGAAAACAAATTGTAATTTTTGAGTGAACTAACCCTTAAAAAGATTATGAATGGTGTAATATGTATGTTAATAATGCTTTGTTGATAAAAGTAAGATATTTTGGCGAATTTCAAATGTGTTTGAGCTCCCAGATGTGTTCAGTTTGTATAGCATTCCAGACGGTGTACTGATGCATTATGGGTGAGTGATCTGATTTTATGTGTGCAGTCATTTTTATTAATGTTATGCAGGTTTTTAATGTCCCTCAAGGGCGTCATGAAACCATTCCTGGTTATAGTGTAAAGGTGTTTCAGGAAACAGTATTTTATTTGTGCTTCTGTTCCTTGTTTACATTTTAGGTACAAATTTAACATCTGCGTGGCTTTTCATATGTTCGCCTGGGACGTGTTGAGCGACGCATTTTGGCTTTGAGCATTACAGATTTATTTATGTAAAGCACTGAAAGTTTTTGGTTGAACAAGGGGTCAGAGGAATGCCAGCCAGCAGGAATTATTGCAAAGATTTATATTTGAATTAATGCATGAGAAACCATTTCAAAATGCATTCCAAAGCATTAACTGTGAACATCTCCAGAATACAGACTAGTATCAGGTTGTGGATAATATTATTTATTTTTTCTTTAATGACTGATAAACGCAATGTAACCACTTAGCATTCAAAAGCATTTGTTCTGTATGTAATCAAAGCATTAATCCGGACATTGTCTGCAACAGTCATTAATGAGAAGCAAGGTTTTCTAGAAATAATCGACTCCTTTTGCGAAGTTAACGTTCCTTTGTAGCTTTTAGCCCAGTAGTGAACAGAAGTCTGTGGTATTAACCTTATATGTATGTAAAGACAAACCACAAAACTACAACTCGAATATTGGATCTGTAATTGAAGTGCATACCAAAAGTGCACATTTATGTATGGAGCAATTGATGTTGTATGTATGCAATAATAAATGTAATTCAACATGAAACGTGTTTGAGTTATTATCGCCTACATCCAATTATATTAGAGATGATAACATATAAAAGAGACAGGCAGCAGCCAGTGATGAAAGCTTTATAGTCAAAATGTATAATTGTATTTAATTTAGTAAAGATTATTTCATTTGGATTTTATTTAATGTTTAATATTTAAAGTATGGATTTGTAATTTTCACAACACTCCATAACATTTTTATTCATTGAATGATAACAGGTAATATATACTGTGAGTATATGTAGTAACATACATCTGTGAGTGTTAAATGTCTTCTTACTGTATATTTATTTAGTGATCAAGTTCAACATGATTGATTTTGAAAACCTGTACTAAAATATTTGGCCAAAAAAATGCATTTTCATGTTTATTAAAATATGTTTGTGTAATTATGAAATTTTCAAACAGCTAGAAACAAGTTAGCTGTATATTAGATTTTGACAGAACAAATATGATAAATCATGGTATTACCATGTTAAAACTGGTTAGAAATAATGTTAATCATGATTTTCATGATTATCATGATCATGTTTGTGTTGTTTATTCTTGTAACGTTTTGTGTTGTTGTTAGCTTGTTTCAGTTAACTTATTTGCCAAATGCAGCAAATCCAATTATTGAAGTATTTTTTCTTTTAAAAGTTTTTCATGTTTATTAAAAGATATTTGTGTAATTTTGTAATTCTCAAACTTATAGTTAGCTGTGTGTTAGATCTTGACAGAACATGCTAGTAATTTAAAAAAGCATGGTATAACCATGTAAAAACATAGTAATCATGCTAACCATGGTTTCATTAAATATTTTTTAATAGTTTCTTATACTTTTGCCGGATTGATTATGACCCTATGATGGTCATTATTATCGGGACCTAGTTGTTTTCCTTTTGTGTTTTGTTTTGTGTGTGCTGTAAAACAGTTTATTTTCGTAACGTTTGTATCGTTGTCAGCTTTTTTTTTGTTTATTAAACTACTTGTGTAATTCTGGAACTGCTAGAAACCAGTTAGCCATGTGTTATCCTGACTAAACATGCTAATAATATAATAAAACATGGTATTAACATATTAAACCATGCAATTGATAATGTTTTCATTAAACTAAAACTTTAGTAAATTATGTAACTTAATTTCTTATGTTTTTGCCGAAATAATGACCATCATAGGGTCATTATTATAGCAAACGATTGTTAAATTGTGATGACCTAGTTGTTTTCCTTTTATATGTTTTGTGTGTGTTGTAAAACAGTTTATTCTCGTAAGTTAACGTTTTGTGTTGTTGTCAGCGTGTTTCAGTTAACTTATTTGCCAAATGCAGCAAATTTCAAGTATGATTTTTTTCTTTTAATAAGTTTTTTATGTTTATTAAAATATGTTGGTGTAATTATGGAGTTCTCAAACTGCTAAAAACAAGTTAGCTGTGTGTTAGATCTTGGCATGCTATTAGAACATGCTAATAATATAATAATGGTATTTTTAAACCATGTAAGTTACCATGCTTTAACTCATTTATTTTCCTTCGGTTTAGTTCCTTTATTTATCAGAGGTTGCCACAGTGGAATGAACCGCCAATGTTTAACACAGCGGATGTCCTTCCAGCTGCAACCCAGTACCGGGAAACTTTATTTACCTTTATTTATTATTTACCTCAGTCTGCAGGTCCCCTTGATCACCAGTAACGTTACACACGCAAGTCGTTTTAACGGGCATTTATTCTGTAATATCCCACTTCCGGTCAGTCGCTGACACATTCGTCAAGGTTGTTGCTGCCTCCTTCACGCCGTGATGTTGATGTAAATAAATCTGAACCTAACGACAGCTTCAGTCCCGCACACACGGAGCCGTGATGGGGTGTCAGCGGCGCCGCTCCCCGGCCTCTGGAGCCCGTCTGCTGCCGCGTCTGCTCTGCCTGATGTGCTTCTCGGTGGTTATTCTGGCAGAGAACACGGAGATGGTGAATGTAGTGACGGAGAGGAAGGCGGAGGAGAGTCACCGGCAGGACAGCGCCAATCTGCTTATCTTTATCACGCTGCTCACCATCACCATCCTCACCATCTGGCTCTTCAAACACCGCCGCTTCAGGTTCCTGCACGAGACCGGCTTGGCCATGATTTATGGTGAGGAGGTTTTGTTCATCTGTGTTCGTGCTCAAGTTCACACGCAGGAGGATTGTGTGTGTAGGAGGATGGCAGGAATTTTGCGCACGAGCTCCTTCGTGTTCTGTAAATGCGTTATTATCTGTTCATTAATATCATCTTGCGGAGTATCCGTGTCATTATATAGAAGAATATATATAATGCAGATATAAATACCTGAAAGTTTAAATGTAATATATAAGAATGCCTTATCTGGTATTTGCAAATGTAAAACTTTTATAGTACTAATATTTAAATCAAGTTCATTTAATTATAGATTACATTTGGAGTTCAGTTTAGTTCAGTGTGGTGTAATATTCACTGCTGAAAGCCAAAACACTGAATAGCAAATCCATCGATGCGCATCTCCACAAGTCCCGAACTATGCAAGCCAGTGGTGACAGCAGTGAGGAAAAAACTTCACCAATTGGCGAAAGTGAAGGATAAAAAACCTCGAGGGAAGCCAGGCTCATTTGGGCACGAACATTTCTCTTATGGCCAAACGTCTTTTGCAGAGCTGCAGTCTAGGCACCGGAGGCTATTCAAATTATAATGTCTTTTGGGAACTGAGTCTGTCCGAGGCTCCAGTTGCTCCAAATAGTGCTGACCATCAATTCTTTAGAGGATTTGGTTTTCAAAAGTATTTGTGTTTTATGTGAATGCTAATGCCGAGAGATGTGTCTTTAATCTAGTTTTAAACTGACAGAACGTGTGTCTGCTTCCCAAACTGTGCTAGGAAGCCTGTTCCAGAGTTTAGGTGCCAGATATGAGAAAGATCCACCGCCTACAGTTGATTTTGATATTCTGGGAAAATCAATTGACCAGAATCTATTAAGCATAGAAGACATGATGGGCTATAATACACCAGGAGCCCCCTCAAATCTACGCTAAGCCATGAAATAAGAAGAAATAAGAGAAGAGAAACGACTGAAAAAAATGCAGAAGTAGCAAGGACTATTAAATTGATATTAAAAAGCCAGGCTGAAAAGGTACGTTTTTAGGAGTGATTTTAAAATAGATAGTGATGGAGCCATTATAATCTCAGACGGGGCAAGGTGTACCATAACCGGGGACCTGCCACAGAGAAAGCTCTGTCCTCTCAACATTGCAGTCTGGACTGAGGAACTAAAGAAATATTTTGATCACTTGATCTAAGAGATCTCACAGCAGTGTAAAAATGCAACAGCTCCGAGAGATAGGTTGGGGCTAGATTATGAAGGGATTTAAATACCAGTAAAAGCACCTCAAATCAATTCTGAATTGGATGGAAACCCAATAGAGGCCCCTCAGAAGAGGCGTAATGTGGTCATATTTTGTTATTACAAATAAATCTCAACGTTTTGGATTAACTAAAGAAATTTGAGATTTTCAAATGCCACAGTAAGGTGCATTGCATAGACAGCTATCTCTAGTGTGGTGGGATTTAAGAAATGTTTGACTTTAGACAGCAAACTGAGTTAATAAAAACTGGAGCCAATAACCAAACTGATCTGTTTGTCTAGTTTCAATGACTCATCATGGATGACACCCAGATTTTGCACATGGAGGGATCTGAAGGCAGACAAGCAGCCCAGATCTAGACATCTAGACTAGGCCTGAATGTTATCAGTATGGCTTAAATCTTAAATATATCCGTTTTAACTGATATTGTAGTAATGTGTGATACATGTAAGTGTATTTTATTAAGTTTTGCAATAAATGCTTTAGGATGTTTCCCAGTGATGGGTTGCAGCTGGAAAGGCATAAGTTGACGGTTCATTCCACTGTGGATTACCCCAGATTAATAAAGGGACTAAGCCGAAAAGAAAATGAATAAATGAATGAATAAATGCTTTACATTTTATTATAAAAGTCAGTTTTAAAGCAATTTTGTGTAATAATTACATTTAAATAGGTCTTAATTAATAAGTTACAGTTTAACCATTAAAGTACACATAAAATCAGAGCTAACCATATTGATTTTGTTTGCTCACTTTGCTAGTTTTGTGGTAAACAGTTCATCTTTACTTAACCATGTCCCTCTATATGTCAGTTTTGACAGGACTATGACAACAAACAGAAATGGTGAGGAGGAGGTTTTAATAACTCCCCCTAACCCCATTTTCCCAATCTTTCTTAATGAAGTGCCTATTGTACTACATCCAATCAGCATGCAGTGGAAGAAATCAAGCAACGCCCACTTTCCCCTTATTTAATATTTAATTTCTCTCGGAACTGCATCACAATTTGGGGAAAAAATGGCCACAGCTTCCGGTTCCTGCAGACCTTTATAAATTGATTGATTGATTGATTGTTTCGTGGAGTTGATTGCCGCTGTTTTGCGTTTCTAACAATTAGTTTTATTCTGGAAGAAACTGCCTACCAAAATACATATTTATCCTTATAGCTTGACCATTGCGTTTGTGAGTTCTGTGATTGTGTGCTTTATTTAACATTGTGTATTGAAACTTTTTTTTACTCCATATGTTTTCCTACTCCAGGTTTGTTTGTGGGCGTGATTCTGCGATTTGGTGTCCATTCGCTACAGGACACGAGCGAAGTCACTCTGAGTTGTGCAGTGAACAGCAGTCCCACCACAATCCTGGTGAACGTAAGCGGCCGATTCTACGAGTACAGCCTGAAAGGAGAGGTGCAGGACAGCAAGGGCCACGATGTGCCCAATGCAGAGATGCTCAGGAAGGTACTGCTTTTAAAGGGGTCCTGATGCTTTTTACACTAGTTTTACTCTTTAGTGTAGCTAATCTTTCTGTCTGCACTTTCTGTCTTTGAACTCAGAATTTTTTTTATGGCCCCCCCCCCCTCATAAAAATTAATGAAAAAATAAAAAATTTTATAACAAAAACAGAGCCTATATTTATAACAAAACAGA